GCCTGGCTTTATCAGAATTGACCGAAGGCCTGCAATTCTACAAAAGTTGGCCTGAGCTGTCTGTGACCACTGTGAGAACAGTTCCTCTCATAGGACATTTCTGGTTCATTCTTAGGAGCCCCCAGTTCTTGCCTTTGTCTGAGACACTTCCTAGATATTCTCCCCGGACCCTACGTCAAAGCATGGTGCCTTGAGGCTCCATCCAGCCCTCCAGCTTATTAGCAGTGGACCTTTCCTCAGAGGGCTCTAGTCCTCCACAGCTGACCTTTGTGCTGTGGTGCCCTCAGTCACCTGCCCTAAGGACCTGTACCCGCCCTCCAGGATAATCTGTTCACCTCTAGCTCCATATTTTAAGGAAACCACAAGGAGACAGGAGAAGATACAGAGAACATCAAATTTAGAGACTCTGAGGAGGATAACAATGAAGGGAGGATGGAGACAGAGAAACCATCATAAGGCAATAGGGCAAAAAGTCTGGAAGGAGTTTGGGCTAGAGCCAGGCCTGAGTTTCCAAGTAACTGCCTATGGCCATGAGCAACTTCATCTCTTTCATCAAGTCTTCTCATCTGCTAAATTATAACCTCACTGGGTGGTTGTGAGGATTAAATAAGGTAACACGTATGAAAAAGCACCTGGCACATTCTGTGTGCTCAGAACGGTTCATTCACCTTCCCTTCTTGAAAACCTCCACAGACAGAGATTTTAGTTTCCCCTCAGAAACCTCTTTATCCTTATAGCTTGCCATAACTAAGAGGGTCTCCCATATGTACAATTAGAGTTGCTCATATTTTGCTCTGTCTGCTTCCTGTTGCTCTGCACTCGGATAGAGAGAGCTCGCAGCTTTTTTTAGAAAATCCCTCACACGCTTCAAGAATGTATTTTGCGTTTCAGCTCAATAGCAACCAATCCTACGTTGTTAGAAAAAGGTACTATAAGGAAATGGGATGTGGGAGAGGCCTGACCTCTGAGTTAGGATTGTTCACAGTGCAAGATAAAATGGTAAAAGCCATCTAACTACTTTATGGGGTCCAATGGACACTTTGTAAGTGAATGTTAGCTTTTGCTTTATGCTGAGCATTGTGCTGTTTGCTTTAAACACATTTAAATGTTGCAGGAACCCTATGAGGTAGTTATTATCACCCTTTTCCTTTGCTGAATTTCCTAGATGGGGAAACAGGCTAAAGTTCACACAGCTAGGAAGGTGCCAGGGCCAGGAAGTGGGTCCATGTCTTTATCTGGACAGAACAGTAGTTCTCCAGTCTGCGAAGATGCAGAACCTCAGGCTCCACAATAAATAGGATTTATCTGAGACCTGAGGGATTAGCTTCAGGAATTTTTCAGTTGGTAAAGAATATGAAGTTCTGGAAAAAGCTACTAAAGAAGGCAATGCAATGTCTTTTCTTGAGTACTCTACCATGTGGCACCTCTTTGGGAGTATGGACCCTTAATACCCATGAAAAGATCGACTCCTGCAATCTTTCAGTGTGTGGGTGACAATTTTCTACAACTTCGCCATGCCAACTCTTGCTTTATGCAGGGGAGGAAATGTTTATAATGTTAGAGTAGCTGCTGTTTGAAAAGTAGAAGCATGTGCTGTTTTACAAGCAATGGATGAGAAGTGTGTTTACCTACTGAATATACTAATTGAAATTTTCTTTAGGACAAGCTGCAAAGTACCATGCGTTCAGTGCCATAGCGAGATGGAAGCAGGTGTATGTGTTGGTTGTGCTATGGACAGAAGTGTCCAAGGAATCTTTCTAGGTGTTAGGCTAGTTTCTCCCCTGGGACTAGGGCAACACACTGTCACAGCTCAATTATGTTCCTGTCCAGAGAGATCGCTCTTTTGCTTTCACTTGAGGGAGAGACTTTACTCTGGGATCGAGGGCAAAGCTTATATTTGAATTATGAAAATAAACACTTACAAGTAAGGGCCAATCTAAATTAACCAGCAAGTGCTGAAGGGTTAGCATATATATTAGAATAAAAAAAAGAACGATGCAGATTTCCAGAACTGTGATGGCTATAAACGGCTCATTGGCTTTGGCAATGACAAAACAAACTAATGCTCCTATGAGAAGACCCTGAAATAAAAGAAACAGGATTTATTTTAATGCACATGGGCTAGTAAAAAACAAAGCAAACCCATAAACTGTTAGAATGTAAATCTGATTATATTGCACTTGTCTGTATTGTTTTGTACAGACATTTTATTTGTAAAATTTCTCATATTTCCAAGAAATGAAATAATACATGGAAATAATAAAAGTGTACACTAAGTAGAGAAGAATGAAAAATAACTCCAGTCTCTTTCTTCTCCCTCAACCCAACACTAGTCTATCTCCTGAAAAGTAACTACTGTTCACAGTGTTTATTTCATACTGGAAAGAAGTATATATAAGTAGAGTAAATATATACTGATTTTGATAGAAAGAGGTGGAGCTCCGGTTTTCTTTCTTTCTAAACAGTGCTGATTATCCCAACGTCATTTATTGGGAAACACCAGTATTTTCCCCGCTCATCTGAAATCCAGACTTTATCGTGTCATAAATTCCCAGGCATATTTGGGTCTTTTGAGACTATCCTCTTCCATTGAGGTGCTGATTTCTTCTCTAGTACTTTTGCAATTATAGGCAATTTATTTTATGTTATTGTCTGACCTAGTCCCCCTTTCAGTGCTCATCCTCAGACTGTTTGTGTCTCCCATGTTTGTCTTGGTCAAGTTCCCCAGGCTAAGCCTGTTGGTATTTTCACTGGGATTTCATTTAGCTTCTAATTTGGAAAGATTAAAACATTTACTTTTACTATTCAAGAATAAAGTATATCTTTCCAGTTATTTTTAGTAGTTTTGAAATATCCCTAAGTTTTTTGAGTTTTCTTGATATAGGTCTTTCAAATTTATTTCATTTAATCTTAGATAGTTTACCATTTTGATTGCTGTTGTAAAGAGAAATATTTTCTTCTATTTTAAATGCTTGTTTGTTCATTTCTACTAATGAGTTAGTAGAAATTATCTTGTTCTAACTTGTTTCGCAGTTGATTTTGAGTTTTTTAGGCAGTGATATCAGCTGAAAAAATGATATATTTTGCCTCATCTTTTCAACTGTTATTTATTTTTCCTAATTGTGATGATTAGCAGTTCTAGAAAAATACTGAATAACGGTATTGATGAGGGCATCCTCTTTGTTCCTCATTTAATGGTAATACTTCTGATGCTTAATTATATATGATGCTGACTTTTGGGTTTATTTTTATAATGTCGATAAAATATCTATGTATTTCTATTTTATGGATCTCTTTTTTTTGCAGAGATGAATGTTGAATTTTGTCAAATGTGTTCTTTTCCTTATTTGATATAGTCTCCTAATTTGTTCTCCTTTTACATATATTGTTGGTTATTTTAATAGAGTCCTAATACTGCATCATCATGGTGTATTTTTAAAAAAGTACTGAATATTTTCTGCTAATATATTAATACTTGTTGCTTTGATACAAGTGAGATTTCTATTTTCTTTTTCTGACTTGGTCAGGTTTTGATATCAGTGTTATACTACTTTGAAAAAATAATTCAGAAGGGCTTCTTCTTTCTCCATTCTTTGAAAAAGTTTCAATAGTATCAGAATTACATCCCATAAAAGTTTGAAAGAGTTAATGTGTAAAAAAGTCTGGCCCTGATATATTTTTGAAAGATACTCATTTGATTAGTTCTCATTTTCTTCTGTGTTTACATTGGTCTGGTTAGGTTTTTCTCTATTCTGGGGTTAGTTTTGGTAATTATATTTTCCTAGAAAATAAACTATTTCTTTCAGTTAGGTTTATTTGTTTTGTAAAGTACTCTTGGGGATCCTCAGTTTCTTCATCCTTTGTGATCATTTTCCCTGTCTGGTGTCTAATTTTAAATATATGTTCTCTTTTCACCCTTTTTTCACCCTATTATATTAGCCATTGGTTTATCAATTTTGGTCAATTCAATTATTTTTGTTTGCTAATTTATACATTTCTGCTCTTCACTGCTTCCCTAATTCTCTTTGTGAGGGAAAACCTGAGAAATACAAAGTAAGACAGGAAAAACAGTGCTGGTTTAGTAATAACGGTTGAGTGTGGGGAGGAGCAAGGTGAGAAGGGAGGAAAGATGAGGCAGAACAAACGGGCTGGCAAAGGGAAGTAGGGAAGCTTTCGGGAGTTGGCGCCCCCTGGGACTCACTCCCCGAGGCCGCACCCAGCCCGCATCACCAGCTCTCTCTGCTCACCAGCCTGAAGATCTTCAACACTCCGGTGGGCGAGAAGAAAAAATGCTTGAAGCTGTCCCTGAATTGGAGCGGGACTAGGGCCCGTCCTTCAGCACGCTTTTGGATGGCGGCCTTCTCCACTTCGCTCTTGGGCTCCTGGGTGGGTGTCCTTGAGGTTGCACCTTGCGGCGCACTGGATGCTACGTTCCTGGGTTGCGCAGACGGCCCTGAGCGTGAGGGTGTCCCCGGAGCTGCGGCAGCCCCTGGGCGTGCGGGACGCTGCTGCTGTTGCATGCTCCCGGTGGGGGTCCTGGTGGGCCCCGGGGCCTGGCTGTCTCAGGCTGGCCCTGCCGTTTTGAGGTTGCCGCCGCCGGCAGGCTATACCCTGGGAACCAGCGGCGTGCCCCAACGGCTGCTGGCCTCCTGTCCCTCGCGCGCACCCAGCTCTCGCTGCCCGCGGACAAACCAGGCCCTCCAGCCACCCTTGTCGCCATTTGGGATGAGATGCCACTGCCTAGCCTGGGAACTCATTATTCCTGCAACTCCATCCCTCCATGCTGCCAGCCAGCCAGGAAGGGGACTCTGGAGACCATTTAGGGCGGTCCGGGTGCATTCTTCTTTGCCACCCAGGCCCAGGAGGAGGAAAACCCAGTCAGATCAGGATCAGTGCTGACTTGGAAATGACCGTATGGGAGCGCTGGGCACAGAGTTCCCACATCTCTTCTTCCAGTTCCCATATTGAGATTAAAATGAGAACAACTACAGGAAATATGGGGAGGAATAAATATATTTAATATATTTAATACTTAGCATCAACTAAAAAGTAATATAAAATTACAAAACTTATATTTTGTCATGAATAGTGCGTTTCTGATAAGGACCACTTGGATTAAATAGAAGCTTCCGGTAAATAAGGACCCCGTCGGCAATACAGCACACTGCTGTCAGGAGTCCAAACACCTGGAAACAAACACACTTTGTCACTGTGGTGGCCATGGTCTGGAGCTCGGTCACTCGCACAGGTTTTAAGTGGTCTGCCCACTGGCTTCCTCTCCTGCCAGGGTACTGAGATTGCTCCCTCCGCTTCCACCTATTACTAAAATGGGAAGAGACTTCAGAGATCATTTCATTCTCATTCCCAAGTTTTTCCAATACCTGCCTAGAAAAAGGGAAAAGATAACTTAGGTGAGCAGAAATAATACTGAAGTGGTGTGGGCTCTGAAATAAATACTTGCCTGGATCTCTTGACTTGCTCACCCCATGTATGATTTAAAGCCCTACTGAAGATATTTAGTTATCAATCAACGTTTCTACCCCCAATGTTCAACTGCCTTTCTTACTACAAACTCTACTGGAGGGTCAAAGTTAACAGCAGCTCAAGATTAAACCAAAGCAACAGCAGCTGTAATAAACACTTTAGAGAACTGGAGTGATAAGATGATCCAAAGTGAACTCTTAAAGGCTGGGGCTACATCTACTTAAAGGGTGGGATTCTAAATAGGCCTCAGGGGGGAAAAAAAAATAAGGTAAAGGGAATAAACTAGAACACTTGGTCTTTAGGTACTCTGATGGCTATTTGAGAGCTGGTGCCTGGGCTGGAAAAGAGGGATATCATTCCTTGCGAGCTATTTGGTCATTTCCCTCCAATGGCCAGGAAGTCTGGCCTCTTGGCTCGAGATATCACTCCATTTTCCATCCTGAATCTCAAACTCAGCTTCTTAGGTTCTGACCACACCAAGTACTTCCTACCTATCCTTCCATGACTCTGGTACTCTGCATGTTGCTGGTTCCTCTACCTGGAACCATCCCCCTCATCTCCCCTTTATTCCTGGCAAGCTGAGTTTCCACTGCCAGAGCGAGGTAGTTGCTTCCTCTTTTCTGTGCCCTGTAGTACTCTGTCAATAGCTTATATACAGCTGTTTTCATTTCTCTTCCCTGCATTAGGCTCTAAGCAATCTAAGGTTAGGGTAGACTCATGTTCTAGTGAGTGCTGTCCAAAAGAAATAGAATGTGAGTCACCAATGTAAGCCACATAGTTTTTCCTAATAGCCACATTAAAAAGGAAAAACAAGTGAAATTAATTTTAATAACATACTTTGTTTAACCTAGTATATCCAAAATATAATTTTAATTTGTTATCAATATAAGTTATTATGAAATAATATACATTTTTTGGTAAGTCTTTGAAATCCAGTGTGTATTTTACATGTATAGCTCATCCCACATTTCCAGTGCTCAGTAGCCACATGTACTAATGACTACTGCATGGCACAGCACAACTCTATACTTTGTCAGCATCTGCTAAAGTGCACCTTTGTAAACAACGAATCAGTGAATGAATGAGTAAGTGAATAAAAGTACCAGTGACTTTTGAACAACATGGGTTTGAACTGTGTAGGTCCACTTAACACATGGATTTTTTTCTGATAATATAGTAGTACAGTACTATAAATGTATTTTCTCCTCCTTATGATCTTCTTAATAACATTTTCTTTTCTCTAGCTTACTTTATTGTAAGATACAGTATATAATACATATGATATAGAAAATATGTGTTAACTGGTTATGTTTTTGGTGCTTGTCAATAGTAGGCTACTAGTAGTTTTTGGGAAGTCAGAGTTTAAAAAGTTTCAGCTGTGTGGGGAGTCGATGTTGTTCAAGGGTCAATTGTAAATCCTATGCCTTGTCCCTCTTTCTCCATAGTAGAGGGATAAGATTATCTTTTTTTTGTTTATAAGTTTAAAAAAATATTTATTTATTTTGGGGGGGGAGTGGTAGAGGGAGAGTGAGAGACTCCTCAAGCAGACTCCCTGCTGAGTGCAGAGCCTGACATAAGGCTTCATCCCAGCACCCTGAGATCATTACCTGAGCCGAAACCAAGAGTCGGATGCTTAACCGACTGAGCCACCCAGGAGCCCCGGGATAAGATTATCTTTAAAGATAACTGGGGGAAATTGCTGTTACAGCACTATCTTATTTCTAGAATAATTCTCATCCCCCATGAAGTTGCTTGGGGCTTAGTAAGGAGATGAAAAACCATGGATTGTGACATACATGGGTGTCTGAGAATGGTTAGTTCTCCTAAGTGGCCCATACTATGGAAAGACAAGGAAGTAGGAGGGAGGTTTATTTAAGATCTTTCTGATTCACATCTCTAGGTCAGAATCTAGAAAAGTCAAATGATTTTGAACCTCCTATAAGAAATCTCAGAAGAGAATCAGATGGAACTAAAATTCAATTATTTGACTCTTGTTTATTTTGGCTTGCCTTCCAGGATAAATTCTGATTAAACTGGCTTGCTTCTCTTCAAGCGATGTTCAAAACAAATCCTTTACTTATAAGGTTTCCTACAACCTTATCACGAGACATCTTGTATTCTATCTGAAGAAAGCTCTGGACAAAGAATAACTGAGCTCAGAGCAATCTGTCTCACCTTAACAAGTGGTATGTATCCCTGTCTTTAAAAGGGAGAGCTATGAAACTCATCCATGGTCTTTTGCTTGACATCGGGTATCTCAGAGCTAAGTGTAACAGATTCCAGTAGCTTTTCTCAGTCTAGTCTAGCTCTACATATTGATGTGGAACATAGAGGAACTATTATTTGGTTAACTTCCGTTTTAGGGCGAAATCATATTCCTTCAGGTTAATCAGGACATGTACTCACACAAAAAATATTAAACCACTAGGGACCATACACTGGCCTAGGAAACCCAGGGATGAATACAGTGTAGATTTCTGTTCTTATAATGTTTTTCAGGTAAATGTGAATACTAATCTAACTTAAAGCAAGAAGTCAGAAAGACCTCCACTTACCCCTCCAAGGACTATAAATGTTGTGGTTTCTGGTAACAGTGCCAACACAGATATGATTATCATGAATATTGCTGCTACCATTGAGTTGATAATATCCTAAAACACAGAATAGAAAGGTCAGCTTTATATGAAGACTGCCAGAAAACGAATTAGCTGCCTAGAGATTTTGAAAGTTCCATCTTATTAAACAAATTTAGTTTTTGTTTTTTTTTTGAAATCCAACTGCCACAGTAAAATGACACCTATACTGTATTTGGTCTACAGTGATGCCTAGTGTGTCTCTTAACCTATGATATACCAATCATTTGATTACTTAGACTTATTTCTTTTTTATTTAAGTATAGTTGGAAGGAGAATGCATCTGGTTGGGAATGGACGGTGTATTGTGTGGCAGGTTTATGACAGAATGGTACACTGGAAAGTCAGAATGCTAAGAGAAAATGTGGAGTAGTTTACATTCTAAATCAAACAACTTTATAATGTTACTAAAATGCAATTAATAAAAAGCTGCACACACTTGGCAGACAATGGTAATTTTCAGGAAAAAACTTTCCTACATCTGCATACAATGGCTGACTGATTATACTATTATTTCAGATGATGTAGCTCATTCATTTAATAATTTCTAGGAACAAAACATTTGCCTTCTGAACAATGGCTTTAGGGGTTGCAGCTTATATTATGAATGGATGTATAGTGTGAGAAAGGTAAATCTCTTTATTCTGGAATGGTTTATATCTGTTTACAGATAACTGTAGGCAGGAAGGTATTGTTAACAGAAATATCAGACTTCAAACTCCTGGTTAACTTAGAAATGTGGTTATTAAAAAGAAAATAGGGGCGCATAAGTGGCTCAGTCGGTTGAGCGTTCAACTCTTGATTTCAGCTCAGGTCATGATCTCAGAGTCCTGAGATTGAGCCCCAAGTTGGTGGCTCCGTGCTTAGCTCAGAGTCAGCTTCAGATTCTCTCCCTCTGCCTTCTCCCTCCTCCCCCCCACCATTCACATACTCTCAGTCTCTCAAAAATAAAAAAAATAAAAGATAAAAATAGGAAGAGGTTCAATGGGCCAGGCAAGATTAGATGCATGTAGAAAGAAAAAAAGCTCTCATTTGCAAGAAATATTGAAACTGTCCTAGGTTAATGTTCCTCTGTGTTGGATATTTTGCTCTGCTTCAAGGCAAGCCACACCTCTACTTCAGACAGCCCTGCCTCCTGTGACTAATTCAGGTAAGTGTGTATGAATGGCTTTTGGTAAAAGTGGTGTTCTAGGGAGTGCAGAGAACTACAGGAAAGAAAAGGATGCACCTGTCCTGAAATATCAGTGACCCTTAATCGTCATTTAAAACATTGTTTTTATAATGAAAACCAAACATCAATATACCATGGAGTAGAATGTTAATTATAAAAAAAAAAAAGAAAAAAGAAAAAGAAAGATTTCAAGAAATTTTGTGCCTGTACTTGGATACCACTGCAAAGCCCTGGGTTGGCTCACTGTGCTTTCTGTCATTGGAACACTTGAGGGGAACAGTCAGAGAAGGCCTGCACTAGGGTCAGTCACTGCAGCTTTGGGACAGTGATAAACATAATAAATCTGAATGCAGATGACCACGCCCTTTCCTCATCAGTGAAGACGGTGGCCATGAGGCAGAAGTTACCTTTCCCCACTGACACATTAATTGAAATCATCATTAGCCTGGTGATGGGTATTAAAGAGGGCACATTCTGCGTGGAGCACTGGGTGTTATGCACAAACAATGAATCATGGAACACTACATCAAAAACTAATGATGTATGGTGATTAACATAACAATAAAAAATTATTAAAAAAAAAAAAGAAAAAGAAATCATCAGCCATCTTTGTATTCACTCTTGTTATAGTAGAAGAGCCCCAGGCAGCTTCTCCAGGGCTATGCTCCGGCTCCCATTCCCATGCACCACTCTTCAGGAACCTTATTCTGTTCATGACCTTTCTTTGTCCCTGGCAGCTTTCCTCAACTCTGTGGCCCCTCTAATTATAGTTGTCTCTCTTGCCCTGCTCAGTCTAACCATTCCCTCAGCTTTCCGGTCACCCGTCCACTCGAGGCACACCACTCTGGTAACAGGGGCCTCTAGTAACACAGCCTGTGAATATATATTTTTTCCAGGGCTTATTTTTCTCTCTTTACATGTGACAGTATTCACCACTCCTTTTTGAGATGCTTTCCTCTCTTACCTTCTGTGACACGGGTCTCCCTTGCATCCTCTCCCTTCTCTGGCTCCTCCTCCTTTTTACCCCATATGTTGGCGTTTCCCAGTTTTTTTTTTTTTTAAAGATTTTATTTATTTATTCATGAGAGACAGAGAGAGCGAGAGAGAGGCAGAGGGAGAAGCAGGCTCCCAAGGAGCAGGGAGCCCGATGCGGGACTCGATTCCAGGACCCTGGGATCACGACCTGAGCTGAAGGCAGAGGCCTAACCATCTGAGCCACCCAGGCGCCCGGTGTTTCCCAGTTTTACCTTCAGTTTGCTCTCCACTTTCTCCGTGCCATTTAGGCCAGTCCCAGAGCTCATCTACCATCACAAGGTGATGATTTCCAAAGCTGCAGTTTTAACTCCTCACTCTCCTGAGCTTCAGACCTGTTCTGAACATTTCTATCTGAATATTCCATAAGCAACTAAAACCTAGTATTTCTCAAACTGAACTTACTGCATTCCTCTCCCTGGCCCTTCCTTAAACCTATTCTTCTTTCTGTACTTCCTATCTCATTATCATCTCAAGATATTTAAATGGCAGGTATTCTTAATTCTTATTTACCTAGTCCTATCAATTCTACCCCATTCACCCCTTTCTCTCTAGTTATTGTTATGACCATAGTTCCGGCCTTTATAATTTTCATGCCTGGATTACAGAAACAAAGTTTTAAGTGGTCTCTGAGAACTACCTCTAGTTTTGTTCCTCTTTAAGCCATTATTATACAGTTTCCTAAACTGTAAGCTGCTCATGTCACTCTCCTATTTAAAAACCCCTAAAAGCTTCCCATGCAGTTGGTTTAAAATGCATGGCATATAAAGCCTTGCATGCTCTGACCTCCTACTGCCTCCCAAGCCTCCACTCTTGCCCCCCACAACCCAGACTCTCCTGGGTATGCATCTACCCCAACACCTATTACACTGAATTGCTCATCTATCTTGCTTCCTGGCTATATTGAAAATTTCACAGGTATAAGACTTGTGTTTTATCAAAGAACCCATTACAGAAGTTAGGATTAGCAGACACTGAACACTTGTTGAATAAATGATTCCATTAGATCAAGAACAGAGAGGAATCTGGGTTTCATAATGGAATAATCCCATAGTTGACCATATAGCACCATTTCTCAGAGATTACAGTATCAGCAAAGTTTGATCCTCAGAGATCTGGAGACTAAATTTCAGTCTACACATAGACCACCCTCTCTCCCAGTGTATTCTGTTAAGCTGAGGGCTCCAAGTTTATTATGGCGACGTGTAATAAGCTCCAGAAAATTATACTAAAATGTATTGGTTTTATTAACCTTGGAAAGCAGAATGTGAAGAGCAACTATATAACTTTTTGAGTCAAGAGGATATAGACCATGCCCCTCATGTCTTTGAAGAAACCCCTGGAATAATTTAGCTTAGCCCTTTCTGCTACTAAATGACATTATCTACTCTGAGGGCCAACTGACTAAGCCATTGTTATCTCTTTTCCTAGACTTCCCTCCAGCCAGGTCCAGCTCTAAAAGTGTGATCAAGTAGGAGTCTGGAGAGTTGCTATGTAGATCCTATTTCCCAGCTTTCTCCTTTTGGGACTTTTTCAGCTTGTGATTAGCTTGAAATGTGCATCATTGGCCTTGCAAGTTGGCTCTAGAAGGTACCACTTGAAGGCATGCTTAAAGCTCCACAGTCCTCTCTCCTTAATGGGGGTTATCAGCTTGGATATCAGCACTTTGGAACCCAGGAGGATGAAACAAGTGCAGCCGAGGAAGATTTAAGTGCAGCTACCAGTCCAGCCAAAAGTGGGAAGGGCTGCAGGGGATCTTAGGAGGGAGACCTACAGAGACAGAATACCGGAGATAAAATTTGGAAGAGGAGAGCAAGGTAAAGCCACTCAATTTTTCCTAGAACTGGAGAACAGTCCAGGCTGAAGGGACGCGTTCACCTTAACTAGCATCTTCAACTTGCCTATTTTGACAGTTTCCAGAATCATTTAGGCGCTTCACTGGGCAGTTATTCTCAATGCTGTAAGTATGGCAGGTGAAGTTCATATGCTACTAAATAAGGTTGTACCAGATGAGTTATTTAGCATTAATGATTACAGACATTCTTAAGTAAGACAACATTGTGCTTTATTCAGCCTCCCAGATTATTTCGGTTTTCCATTTAGTGATCAGGGATGTGCAAGATGTGATACTTGTGTCTCTGCTTCCATCTCTTTCCCCAATTTTGAGGCCATATCAACATGTACTCAAAAGGGAGGTACAGATTAAGAATGCTCTATAATTTTCTTAGCCATGATCTTGAATTTATATTTCTTTAGAAGATCAACATTTAAGTGAATTCTCCTAACAGAAGGGTCAGTCCCATCTACTGGTAGATGGGGGCTCAGAGGAGAATTTATGCTCTGTGGTTGCTAAGGGACAATACAGAATACAGTAGCAGTGGGTAGAGTTCCTCCCTCCTAAGCCTATCAGACATTTCTTAAAGGCTTAAGAAAACTAAAGAATAGCTTATTAAAATGTCTCACTATGACAGGAAAAAAGTAGTTAATTTTAACAATAAAACTGAACACTTACAAGCAAAGGCCAAAATAAAAAGTCTATTAATCGATCAAGTCTCAGTATATATAAAATTATGAAAAAGAAAATAATAGTGACTTCAAATCCAGCGATGGCAATGTATGGTTCAGGGGCTTGTGCAATGATAAAAAAGGTCATGGATGTCACATTTAGCGCCTATAAGGATAAAAAAAACATGATTTATTCAATGATTACTGAATGCAAATTTAAGCTGTAAAAATGATCATTTCTAAAGTACTAAATTAATGGGTTTAGGCCATATACACACACACCTAAAGGAGGAATTACTACAACGTATGGATGTTGCCTTCTTTTTGTGTTTTAGGGAACTAGGTGTCCCTCTCTTGTTATTCCACTTGTACACCTAATACCATCTCTTCCCATACCTGTTCCCTTAATATTTTCCCACTACATATCTTCTTTTCTCTCTCAGACCTTCAATCTCTCCTCACTGGCTCCTTTCCACATCATACTATAAACATATCCAAGTTGTCTTCTCTTAAAACATACACACACACACACCTTCCATTCATCCTGCTCCCAAAGAAATTCCTGTTTTCTATTTCTCTCTATAATTCTTTTAAGAAACATCTGTATACTGACTGCTATAATTCCTTATCATCTGCTCATCAGGCCTTAACTCTTAGCAATGTGGAATCTACTGTCAAACTTAAACTTAGAATGTTGCCATGAAAAATACTGGAGAAAAGTTTAAAATAAATTGTTAGAGAAAAACAATTCTCTGAAGAACCCTATGCGGGAACAAAGGAAAAAAAAAACCTCCCAACAATTCTGATGCTTCACTTTTTACATATTTTCTCTAACCTAAATAGAATGCAATCAAAATTGATGAATATTTTAAGTGAAAAAAACCCGAAAAGATAATTAATCCAATCTCCTCATTTACAAATGAAGATATAAAACACAGAAATGTTAAGTGACCTAAAGGAAAAATAAGCTGATGGGTCCCAGTGAGTCTGTCAACATCATGTTTTTAGGAGCTGTCATGTTATAGCTCTATCCAAAGTCTCTATGTTCTTGGAAAATGGTTTTGTCAAGAATTTTCCCTGGCTAAACTCTTCTGATCAGTCTGTCAGCTAGTAGCATTTACACACACTCTCTTTAACCTTAAATCTATATGGCCTACCTATTCATACTTCTTTCAATTACTTTCGTAGTATAAAAATACCCTACCTTTAAACTTCTAAATTGATCAGTTTGATTATATAGCAAATATAACCACTCTACAAGCCGTTCTTTATAATTAATATAATTACAGTTAACAACATTTCACCTCAAACCACTTCATTTACTCTATTGAACCAGTCTTGAGTTCATGGGCTATGAAATCTAGGCTCACTTTTTCAGTTCCCATCTTCTGTAAACTTTCTGCACCATGGAATTTGACATTGGTGATTAATCCATTTTCTTAAAAGTTCCTATGATTTCAGTCACACTGGATTCTCCCCCAATCCATTATTTACAGCTCTTCTATCATTACTCTTAGCCTTTGTCTCCAATTCTCTTTTAAATATCCCACTAATATCTCAGACATTTCTTCACCACTCTGTGGAAACTGCTTTTGCTCAGATTATCGATGATTTCAGAATTACTAAATTTAATGAACATTTTTTAGTTTTTATTCTATTGGACCCCCATAGCTTAATTGCCACTGGCGATCTTTTTCCTATTTTTCTACTCCTTTGGCTTGCATGTCACTTTTCCTAGTTCTTATACAACTCTGTAACTATCCTCCCTTGGTGGGCTTCTCTCCTTTTAAAATGCTGGTATTCCTTTAGATTCTGTTTACCACCCAATCGTCGAAAGTGGGTTCCTATCACAGATCAATCCTCAACATCTCAAACATAAATAGCCATTTGCAATCTTTATCTGAATACCTACAGGAATCTCAAATTCACCATATCCAAAACTGAACTCATCTAGCCTGTTCCTCCTGTATGCACTATCTCAATTGGTGATACCACCATCTATCTTATCACCCACCTGAGAAACCTATTATCAGTGCTCCTAATACTCCCCACAAATGATCAATCATCAGGTCCTGCTGATTTAATGCTAACCATCTTGGGAACTCACTCCCTCCTCTTCGTCCCTACAGCTACTGCCCTTCAGTATCTTCCCTGAACTACCATGACAAAGGTATTACAGTATAATTTCTAAAACGCAAATGCACTTCTCAGCGGCTCCCTGTGATCTTTAGAATAGAGCCTACCTCTCATCATGGTATTCAGCCTGCCATCATTCAGCTCCTGTCTACTTTTCTAGCACAATTTCTTCACAGTTTATCCACAGGATAATTCCAATGTTTAATTCTCAAATTGAACTTCTGATCCTCCTCCTACATTTGCTTTACCCACAGGCTTTCAGTGGATGGCAACTCCATCCTTCCAGTGCTTAGGCCAAAGACTTTGAAGTTATCTTGACTCCTCTCTTTTTCTTACACCACATCCAGTTCATCAGCACATCATGTTGGGGCTACTTTCAAAATATATCCCAAATATGACCATTTCTTGTAGCCTACCCTGCCAACAGCCTGGTCTGAGCCACTGTCCTCCTTGCCCAAATTACCATAGCTCTAACTGGTCTCCTGGTTCTACCCTCGCCCTTGCAGCAATCCCCTCCTGTCCCTCTGACCAATCTACTGTCAACATAGCAGTTGGTCTATTTTTTTTTAAATGTCAGTCAGATCGTATACAGCCTTACTCAAAACCTTCCTCATCTATCATTGTGTTCCCAGTCACTCCACTCCTGTCATACCGGTTTCCTTGCTTTTTCTCGAACCCTTCAGGTACATTCCTGTCATAGGGCCACTGTAATGTATGTTCCTTTTTAAAACACTTTTCCTCCAGATATTCTCATAGCTAACTCCCTAGCCTCACTCCACTCTTTGCTCAGCTGTCATCTCAACAAGGCCTAACCTGACCACTCTATTACTGGAATCTGCAGCCCTCCTCCCCTTACCCTCCTTTCCCTGGCCTTACTTGTCTCTTGTTCCATAGCACTTACAACTCCTTACAATACTGCATCATTTATTTATTGTGTTTACTGTCTGTCTCCCCTGCCCTCCCACCCCAATATATAAACTCCATGAGGGCCAGGGATCTTTGCTTTGTTCACTGGTATCTCCCAAGAGGCTAGAACAGTGCCTGGAACATGGTAGGCTTTCAATAACTATTTGTTGCATGAAAAAAATAAGGCAACACTCATCTTGTTAAAACTTGCTGCATAAATCATGCTGTTTTTTTGCCTCCATGTCTTTGCTTAGGTGGCTACCCCTGAGACCCCACTCTATGTTCCTCTAGGAAGTTTCCTGATACCTCTCTTTCTCTGGTCCTTGGTTAAATGTCTCACTCTTTGGCCTGTCCCCGTCTTACCACATAGTATAGCTATCTGCTCATCTGTCTGTCTCTTTGACTAAACTGAAGAACTCCACGAGGCAGGGACTTTTGTCTTGCTTGTTCTTGTTGTTCCAGGGCCTAAGTCAGATCTTAGATTACAACTAAATACCCTAAATGTTTGTTGAGGGAATTGATAGGTCTGAAACTAAACATTTCTCACAAGATCTTGTTCCTCCTCCAGTGTTCTTCCAGAGCTTTCAGTACTAGGCATAAAACTCCAGACGCTTAGGTCACTTCTTCCCTGATTATTTACTCCTAACCCAAAGCAATCTTTCTGTCCTTTGAACTCCAGAGTAGTTTCCTAAACCTCTCTTATGCACTCTGACTTGTATCACATTACAGTCATTTCTCAGAATCACAGACTTGTGGTGTGGGAGGGACCCTGCATGCAGTTTGTTCTACGCACTCACCTGAGTCTGAATCTCTTTTACAGCATCCTCCCTAGGTGCTCATCTACACCTGTTACCTCTGCTGCTTGGGAAGGTACTGCCTTCCCAAGTTTGGGGAACTTTCTATTGGGGAACTTTCCCAATAGAAAGTTCTTCCTCACATTAAGTGGAACTGTTTCCCTGTAGCTTTTAACTACTTCCATCTCCTCCCCTATAGGTCACCTCTTTAAAATTTAAAAATTATTTTTTCCATCTCCTCCCCCCCCCCCTTTCTTTGTTCCTTCAACATAGTCTCCTGTGACAGTCCCCACTTCTCTAGCCAGGGCACCTTCCTCCAAATGATGGCTCATTCTCTCCAGACCGCTGTTCAGAACTAACTGCAGCGCGCCCAGCGCGCCTGACACCCCGAAGCCGGCAGCCCGGCTGTCCTGTACGGGGTACAAGCGCAGCTGACTGGCCTGCTAACCTGGGTACCTGGTGTGCAGGTCCAAGTGGGGCCACTCATGCAGACATGCTGACTTGGCTTTATGAATGTGTGAACCCCTGAAGGGCAGGGCAGTGCCTTCTTTGTCTCCTTCTGCCCCCGGGGTGCACAGTGAACCGGGGTGCACAGTGAACCGCCGTGCCTCTGGGGAGGCCTAAGCTGAAAGAGAAGGTAGGGGATTCCTCTTTATACTTGAGAGCCATCCCCCGCTGCCCCTGAGCACGCCCCAATACCGCCCCCAGCCGGTGGCCCGGCCTCACCATCCGCAGCATCTTCACGTGGCCTTTTACGCTGAAGCAGAAGGGGCGATGCTTCGGCTTCAGGGTCGACATCATGCCTGCAGACTCAGCAGCAGCGGCAGCGGCAGCGGCGGCGGCAGCAGCAGCAGCGGCAGCAGCAGCACTTCTCTCCCTCACCCCCTCTCCTCGCCTCACAGCTCTGCCAGGCCTCGCGCGGCGATAGCAACCGCCACCACCGCCGCGCGCCGCCCTTCTAGGAGTCCCGCCCTCGCGCGCGCATGCGCAGGTCACTGCGGCCCGCGCTCGTGCGCATGCGCCTCACGGGGGCCGGCCGCTTGCCGCTCTTGCTTTGCGGGCTCCTGGGGTTCGCCTGCTTTATTTCTGCGGACCTAGCGGGGGGCACGCCGGTCGGCCCCTCTCAGCGCCGCCCCCCCCCGCCCCTCCAGGCACCAAAGACGACTGCTCTCCAGCTCTCCGTAGGGGCTTTCCTGTCAGGGAGCGCTTCTGGAGGGGGTTGCAGGGAGGGGTTGGGGTGTTCAAGAATGGCTGCAGGGCTCCCCTGTACTATGAGCATCTCAAATACCAACTCCTTAGAGAGGATTTCCCTTGGACACCCCCGCTAGAGCAGCCACCATCACCTTCTCTTCACTTATCACTAGCTGATATATCTTAAAAATATAAATTGCACAAAAGCAGGGACCTGCCTTTGCTTGTCTCCCTGCAGGGTTCCCAGGGTCTGGCACATAGTAGATGTGCAGTAGATATGTGCAGTCTGAATCAACGGCCTGGGCCTCATACCCTGTCCCTGCCCCCAGGGGATCCCAGTCTGATCCAACAGCCTCATCCCAAATCAGAAAAACGTTGAACTTAATCCTGAAGTTTATGGAGGGCGTTTTGTGGCAGGTAATACAGAAAGCACTAGATGGGGTTGCGGCTTTCTGATAGCAGATCTAGAGACTGAGTGAACCCTCTTGCCAATGACTTCCTCTTTTCTGTCCTAGAGGTGACTGCTAGCATGTTGCACTCCTGGGAGAGGTAGGAAACCCCTCTACCCAAGCCCTGGAATGGGCATGCCCACACAGTTCTAAGTGCAGCAGCTTAGGTTTCAGGGCCTGGGCCTGTTGAATTATATATACCAGTCTACCTCACACCTGGGCTGAATTTTTGCTACCTGACTATGGATGAGATTTACAGGCTTCCTTCCCACCCCCAGTTGTCTGTTTAGTTGGAATATTAGTTGTGCCTTTGTTAAAAGATAAACTGAGGTGGGGCGCCTGAGTGGCTCAGTTGTTAAGCGACTGCCTTCGACTCAGGTCATGATCCTGGGGTCCTGGGATGGAGCCCCGCATTGGGCTCCCTGCTCAACGGGAAGCCTGCTTCTCCCTCTCCCACTCCCCCTGCTTGTGTTCCCTCTCTCTCTGTCAAATAAATGAATAGAATCTTAAAAAAAAAAAAGATTTGGGCAGCATCCAATGTAGCAGATACGGCTCTCCAAGGAGCCGTACAAAAGGAAAAACTTTCATAGGCAAAAGGAAGCAGGAACAAGGAAATTACACTGGCAAAGAAGCTGGGTGTTTGTGGCAAGGTTACTTTGCTTTAGGGGATGGCAGGAGTCTATCAAGCAGATTTTACCTAACCACTGTTGATCAGGCTATTCCTGATGGACTGGCCTGTTTCCATTTCTGGGAGAGCCAAAACAATTAAGTCTTGGTTTGGTGGGGTGGGGCTTAAATAAGCAACTCCGTTTTGGGCCCTTGTTTGTGTTTTTGTATGTGTGTTTTGTTTTTGTTTTAACACTTTCTTTTTTTTTAAGATTTTATTTATTTATTTGAGAGAGAATGAGAGATAGAGAGCACGAGAGGGAAGAGGGTCAGAGGGAGAAGCAGACTCCTTGCTCAGCAGGGAGCCCGATGTGGGACTCGATCCCGGCACTCCAGGATCGTGACCTGAGCCAAAGGTCAGTCGCTTAACCAACTGAGCCACTCAGGCGCCCTTTTTTTTTTTTTTTTTAAAGATTTTTATTTATTTATTTGAGAGAAAGAATGAGAGAGAGCGAGCACACGAGAGGGGGTTGGGTCAGAGGGAGAAGCAGACTCCCTGCTGAGCAGGGAGCCCGATGCGGGACTCGATGCGGGACTCGATGCGGGACTCGATGCGGGACTCGATCCCGGGACTCCAGGATCATGACCTGAGCCGAAGGCAGTCGCTTAACCAACTGAGCCACCCAGGCGCCCATGTTTTAACACTTTCCTGAGGCACCTAGTACATTTACAGTCTAGACCCGGAAATGTCAAAGTTCAGAGGAAAGAGTGCAGGCTGTGAGGCAAGATAGATGTCTTGAATTCCAGCTTCACCTCTTAATGAATGCTTCTGATCATTTTAAACAAGTTACCTAAGTTTTGGAGGATTCGCTCATAATCAGTTAGGATTATGGGAGTGACAATATCTACTTGCAGCATTGTTGAGGAGAATTAATGACACCCTAAGTGTGTGCCAGGTGCCTGGTTAGAACACGTGCTCAATTAAGTAATCTCCAATAATTAACTAACCAGTTGCAGGTATTTTTGGCCATCCATCCCCCAAGCTTTGCCAAGTCGGGGGTTCATTCAGCCAGCGTCCCGTCAGCGGGAAGATTTCCTGGCTGCAACCGGCTCAGCCGTCTCGGAGAGACGGTGAAATGCGACAGGGTCTCTTTAAGAGAGCGGCCCCAGCGGGCGCTCCGGCCGCCGGCGCGGGGATGGAGGCGGCGCGCTGAGCTCGCGTTGACTCGCGCAGGAAGGAAGCCGGGCGGTCGGATCCGCCCGCCGGGTTATGCTGCGGCGGCCGCTGCGGACCTGGGCCGCCCGGGCGCTGCGGCGCGAGGGGCCTGGGAACCCCGCCCCGGGCCGGGGGACGCGGGGGATTCAGCGCCGGGCCTGGCCTCGCGGTAACGCGTCTCTTTGTTCCATCTCTGGCGGCCGGCGCCTGGCGCTCCCCGCCCTCCGGCCTGAACCCGAAACTACTCCTAGGCGCCGGGATTTTGTCGCGGCGACTGCGGGGGCCATGGAGGGGCAAGGGCGGTGATTGTCAGCGGCCCCGGACACCAGCGGGTCGCGAGCGGGTGGGGCCGTGGGGATCCTTCTAGGGAGGAGAAAGACCCCCCCAACCCCCCGCGAGCGGGGGCTGCTCCCTTCCCGGTCCCGCTCTAGGTCCGATTTTCATGGCCTTGGGGGAGACAGAGGCCCTGGAGCAGCAGTTAACCAGTCCTCAGCGGGTGGTGGGTGCTTTAGCCTTCCTGCTCCCCCTGGGAGTGGAGACTTCCCCTGTCAGAAACCGGAACCGTAATAGCTAAGTTACAGAGTTCTTTGGCCGCGGGCTGTTGGGTGGCGCCTCAGAACCACCTTTGTGGTTGGGTGGGCCGAGGGTGTCAGCCCTGGGCCGAAACCCATGCCTGCCGCCCACTCTTTGCCATGGGGTCCCAGTGGAGCCTGCCCAGTGTTTTAACTTGCTGGATCCATATGTGAGGATCATAAATATGAAATGTGTGGAAAATGGAAAGTGTGATATACTAAAGCGGGGGAAGAAAAAAAAAAAGCTGAGCAGAGTTGGGGCCCAGAGGTGCCACCCCGACCCAGGCAGCAGCTGCACAGTGTCACATGGAGGTAGACAGCAGTGGTGGGTCTGCCTCCATCCACCCATGGAGGGACTCCCGATGTTACTGGAAGATATTTTTAGGCCAGGGAGTAAGCATAAACATTACTGTTTTTGTGGTGGCTTCCAAAATTATGACAAAGAAGAGTGAATTACTTAAAACTGACTTTAAAAATTGATTTCATTTCTTTTGTAGATAAAGATAGAGAAAATGAAAAAGAGAAAAAATCAGTGGTAAGTCCCTCTTTTTATGCGCACTCCCCACTGTGGGATTATATATATATATATATATATATATATATAAAGTGGGAGGATTATATAGACAGAGAGAGGGGGAAGAGCTGAGGGAGTGAGGGAATATGTGCACATAGTAAAAAACAAAAATATAAGAGGATCTTCAGGGATGAGGAAGTCTGTCTCCACTGCTGGGCCTCAGACCCCCTTCCCAGAGGCCACCTGTTACCAGGTTCTGGTATGTCCTTATCAAGAGTCTGCACAGCTAGGAGCACACATGTATTCAAAGCCTTTAGGTAGATTTGGACTGTCAGCTTGATGAATGATTACAGAAGGATTTGAAAAATCCTCATCTTTGTGGGGAAGGTTGGTTTCACCTTGGGTTAGTGGGTGGCAGCCTGGCTGTGAGGGAAGGTCTGCTGACTGCCGCCTCTGCCCTCCAGTGTTGAGACTAGTGGGTGCGTGAGGGTATTTGAGAGAATCCATGGGGGTCCACAGACATGGGTTCAACCAGAGTAGCGACTTTGAGATGTCAGCCGTGGGGCGGGACTGGGGCTGGTGTGAGGTTGAAGGCCAAACTGGACATGTTCATGGAGATGTGGGAGCCCTTAGCCAGCTGTAGTGGGGAGCAACATTTTGGTCACCATCAATCCAGAGGCTCAGTTCCTTGAGGGAGCTAGAAGTCGGTAGCTTCTGTGGCTCAGAGGGGAGTGGTTTGGCGGGCGGTGGCAGGAATACCTTGGCTGGGGTCTGCAGATGGCAGAAAGGTGGGCAAGCCCCCTGGGATATTCAGGGTGCTAGAGAGGGCCTGGGAAGGAATAAAGTTACATGGAGAGGATTGGCGATTGTAACACTTGAGCTTTATGGAAGTGTGTTGGAAATGAGAGGTGTGTTGGGTGATGACGATAGGCACTGCAGAAGGGGAAGGGGTATTATGTTGAGCTGGTTGGGAATTGATGCATTATTGTGCTGTTAATTATCGAGCTAGCACTGATGGGAGCCGGGCCTATCCCGGGTGCTTTTAGGCACATGGTAGGTTTGTCAGAAGTGGTATGGAGCGTGCATTTAGGCCCAGGGCTATTCTTAAGCATTCAAATCCTTTGAGTTCCTGGGGACCAAACAGCCCCTGTCATTAATGAGTCCCTGGTCTGATAGGGGAGACGGCAGTAAATAGGACCGTGGTGGACCCAGAACAGCAGTGATTCTGGGGCCTGTGGGTAGGGGGCAGGGCCTCCAGAGGACAGTGCCTGAGGGGAGCCTTGGGGAGCTCTGAAGCCTCCTGGGAGATAAAGGGAAAGGGGAGGCAGGAGTGTTGGAGCAGAGGGAGCTACAAATATGAGTCATAGAAGGAAGAGAGCCTGCAGGCCCTAGGCTCTGGCTGGTCCCCAGAGAGCTGGTGAGGAGGGACCGGAGACAGGTCCCAACACCCGGAGCCACTGAAAGACTTGACCGGATGTGATCTGGTTTGCCTCTCGGGAAGAGATGGTGGTGGTGGACCACGGGTGGGGTTGAGGGGCACTGCTGGGACAGACTGGAAGGCACAGAGTGTGGATTTAAATTGTCCTCTCTGCTTTATTCGCTCCTACAAGCCTCATTTTTCTCTTCTGTGAAAGTGTTGGGACCCACTACTTAGCTGGCAAAGTTGAATGTGGTATTGGTAAACGTTACCCATCTTATGGCCTGGCCTGCAGCAAGGTGCTCCACTAAGTCCTCTCCTGTCCGAATACTTTCCAGTCCATGTTTTTCTGTGTAAAGCAGTGAGTGAGGTACTACGGAACATACACATGCTTCCCAGCCTCAAAGCCCTAGGCTCTGGTTAAGGAGGCAGGACACTTGGGCCTAAAATCTAATAGTCTGAGGGGTGGATCTAGGGAAGGGCAGAGTTGGGTGGGCAGTGGCAAGCTGTGTGTGGTCTAGGAGACGACATAAGGGAGGGTCTGTCCTGGAGGGCAGCGGCTCAGTGGCCATCAGTGGTGGGCCTGGAGCTGAGAATCGTTTGTTACTGCTCACAGTGGGACCTTGGAAATTTCCTGTGGTGGGAATTTTGTGTGCACATTGCAGTCTTGGACTGAATCGTTTATGCTGTTCACCTGAGCCCTTCCCTAGAAATTCTTCCCTGGGATACTCCCCTAGCTGTTTGATTTTTGGTTCTCATGGGCATTTGTCTTTGCTTAGATTTGTGTTGAGGGCAACATTGCAAGCGGGAAGACGACGTGCCTGGAGTTCTTCTCCAACACAGCAGGCATTGAGGTACGGCCTCCACATGGGGTTCGAGAGAACCTGTCAAAGCTCGATGGAGTGACTTACAGAGGGTGTAGACCAGCCGTATCCCATAGACATAAAATGCAAGCTACATATATAATGTGAAATTTCTAACAGTTTTGCTAAAAAACAAAAAAAAACAAACCAAAAAGAATATTTAATTTGACATAGTATATTCTAAATGTTATCATGTCAACATGTAATCAGTATAAAAATCATCCATGAGCTATTTTGCATTCTGTTTTTCATACCAAGTCTTTGAAATCTGGAATGTAGTTTATACTTATGGTATATCTCAATTTGGACTAGTCACATTTGAAGTTTGTTAGAGCTACGTGTGGCTCATGTCCACTGTGTTAGACCGTGCAAGTATAGACTTCCCTGAGGTCTGGTTTAGAGGGGTCTACAGACATGTTGAGAGTGGCTGGAATATTATAGTGTTACATCTGAGATACTCGTGTCTAAGCCGGGGGATATTACCATGGGTAGCCAGTTAACATAATCTCTAGTTTATTTACAGCCCAGTCACTGAGAATAACCTCACAGATATTTGAGAAGTGCCTCTACACTAAGACCCTGACTCTTCTTCCTGGAAGAGTTTAGTGGTGTAATTTTTTCTGTTTCTGTCTCTTTTTTGTTACTCTAGATCCTACAGTTTTCATATGTTTAGAAGTATTTTCTTTCCTTCTTTCCCTTCCTGCTTTTTACTTCTATTAAACATATATATGGTTCGAGGGGTGCCTGGGTGGCACAGTTCGTTAAGCATCCAGCTCTCGGTTTCCGCTCAGGTCCTGATCTCAGGGTCCTGGGATTGAGCCCTGAGTTGGCTCCTTGCTTAGCACGGAGTCTGCTTGTCCCTCTCCCTGTGCTCCTCCTCTCTCTTTCAATCTCTCTCTCTCAGATAAATAAATAAAATCTTTAAAAAAGATATACACATGGTTTGATTAAAAGAATAAATGTTCTGTAGCCCTCGTCTTGCTTGTGCAGAAAAGAGTTCGCAGGCCCAAGCTGCTGTCTTCAGAACGGCTTGTGTGCAAGGTCAGCCTTGGCTGGCGTGTGGGAACTTAGATTTTGGGAGAGTTCACCATTTCCTAACTCATAGAAATGGCTCTCTGTGTCTGAACTGTTTGTGCAAACAATATGGTTTATTCTGGACGCCTGCTTTCTTTCTGGGAGTCTGGAATTTTTATATGTGCCGGCCAGAGACTGCCTATGTGGCTGAACTCTGACAAAAACCCTGAACTGCTGGGCTCAGGCCAGCTTCCCTGGTAGACGCCACCTCACGTGTTGTCACAGCTTGCTGCTGGGGGAGTTCAGTGCTTCCGGTGTGACTCCCCTGGAAGAGGCCCCTTGGAACCTTGTGCCTGGTCTCCCCGTAGACTTTGCTCTGTGCACCCCTTTTTTTTGCCGATTTTGTTTTGTATCCTCTCCCTGTAACAAATCTTAGCTGTGAATATCATTCTAGGCTGTGTCCTGTGCGTCCTTCTGGTGAGTCATCACACCTGGGGAGGCAGGGGTCTTAGGGACTCCTGATATACCTGTCCTGAGTGGTGGCACTCTATATGGCTCTTTAGTCCATATAGAGTGCCACCTAAGTGGCACATAAGTGCCCCTAAATCACAACAACGAGAGTCAGCACCTAGTGAGGGTAATACTGTATGCCAGGCACTATGTTGAGGCTTCATTCTATTGTCTAATTGATTTTGGCCTTATGAGAGTCGTCTCTGTGAGGTAGGTACAATTATTACCTCGGTTGCAGAGCAGGAAATGGGCTTAGTGAGGTAAATGAATGGCCAGGGTCCGGCTGCTGGTATGGGGTGGAGCCAGCCCCAGCCCCAGGGGACCACACCCTTGTTTGGTTTCTCTGTAATACGGAGAGCTTTGTTGGCTTTCAGAAGACCTCACTTAGCTTTTGGATCTCAGCTCAGTGCTCTTTGACCTCCCCAGCTAGGTTACCCTTCTTGGTGTAGATTCTTCTGGTCCCTCTGTAACCTTGTTTTATTCTACTTCTCGGGGCTTAAAAATATGTGATTTCTGTGATGATCTGATTAAGGTCTGCTTCTCCCAATAAGTTTTTTTTTTTTTTCCAGCTTTCTTTATTTTAGAGAGAGTTGGAGAGAGCGTGTGTGGGCACATGAGTAGGGGGAGGGGCAGAGGGAGAGAGAGAGAGCGGGCGCTCGCGTGCATCTTGAGTAGACTCCCTGCTGAGCACGCAGCTCCATGTGGGGCTCAATTCCAGGACCCTGGAATCATGACCTGAGCCGAAACCGAGTCGGACGCTCAACTGATTGAGCCACCCAGGTGCCCCAAGTTTAAAGTTCCATAAAAGCAGGGACCGAGGTGGTTTGGCGCTTGCCGAACATGGTGGCTGGCACAGTGAGTTCTCATTAAGTGTTGCCTGATCGTGCCTTAGCTGGGCTCAGGTCAAGGCTGCCTGTGCCCAGCCTCTCGTGGCCTGGGCGGGGCAACACATACTACTTGGGACAGGAATAGAGTGCTTAAGACCCAGAAAGAAAGGGCATTTGGGAGGGGCAGGGAATGACTCACAGAGGAAGGGATATTTGAGCTGGAGTTTGAAGGATGTGTAGGAGTTTTCCATGCCATGGAAGTTGATGTGAAATGAGGTGACATGAACATACTGGGCAGAAGGAACAGTATGAGCAAAGGCACAGAGGTGTGGAAGGTGGGGGGAGGTTACTTTTCATGGGTCCCACGCATTTCTTTCCTTTGGTCTTCTGTGACCTATAGACCCTGCTCACATGCACTTTCAGGTACCCAGATGGATCCAGGTACTCTCAAAATCTTGGCCCCAAGAGCCCCATTTAAATCCTTTCCAGCACATACCTGTACCCCAGAGAGGCTCTGGCACAGTTTAGGAAGTGAACTAATGCAACGTAACTCTTAGCTGTCAGCATGCCCAATGCAGAGACCAGGGGGAGCCAATTGCTGGGGTCATGGGAGAGCCCCCAAGTGGGGAAGCTGGCTGGAAGTGCCTCAGGTAGCTTCCCTCTTGCCTTTTCTCCCCCCGTCTGCCCAGCCCCACATGGGGACAGTCAGGGCTGGGATGGCACACACAGAGGAGAGATGGGGAGAACTGCCTTGCCCTCAGGGAGCTCCCGAGGCAGCCGGAAATGTGGCATGTGTGCAGACTTGCATGCAGGGACGGACACCGTTCTGAGGTCACTTTGGGAAAGCCTGTGAGAAAGCCATGTCTGGGTGGAGTTGTGGCTTCGCAGAGAGGGTTGCCCAGCTCTTTTGGTCCACCCTGGGGACCGGCATCCTGAGGGCAGACCTCTGATGTTTTCTTCTCTTGCAGGTGTTACAGGAGCCAGTGCCCAAGTGGAGAAATGTCCGCGGTCATAATCCTCTGGTGGGTGTGTTGTCTCCTGCATGCACAGCCAGCTTCTGCCTAAGTGCGGGGAATGGTGGTGCTGGTGCCAGAGCCTGCCTCCTCCCTGCACAGGCCTTTTCCTGGCTCTTCCCTGGGCTGGAGGAGAAGAGGGAAGGGGACACATGGAAAACGGCAGCATATTCATGTTCTGAGGTGAAGGGTCTCTGAGGCAAGCGCTGGAATTTCATTTGTTAGCACCAAGAGAAAAAAACAAAGCAAAAATGTGGAAAAGAGCAGAATTTAAGATTATTAGCAAGAGGAATATGGAACACGGACTGTTTTATATGTACAGGCAAGAGAAAATGATGGGCATGGGGCTGCTCTTTTGGATAAGATATTTGGGGAAGGCATTTCTGCTCAGGTGACATTGGAGCACAGACTTAAACATAGGGAGGGAGTGAGCAGTGCAGAGAACGGAGCAAGAGTGTTCTCTTAGAAGGCACAGCAAATGAAAGGCCCTGAGGTGGGGTCATGCTTGGGTGTTTGGGGGAACACTCAGGAGGCTCCTGTGGTTGGAAGCACATTGAGTCAGAGGAAGGATGGTAGGAGACAAGAGAAGATGCAAGTGATTTCCTAGGGCCCTGTGGGCCCTGGTAAGGGCTTTGGATTTCACTCTGGATGCAACGGGAAGCCACTGGAAGGTTCTGAGTAGAGGAGCAACAAGAGCTGACTGAGGTTTCTCAGGCGCACGTTCACTGCTGGGTGGAAAAGTGACTGCAGGGGGCTCCCCAAACACTTGTTAAGTGACCAAGTGAGTGTTCCCTGGGGACTTTACATAGGCTCCTGTCACAGCTGTTACTTCGTTGTCCTGTCACTGCCCCAGTGCCTGTCCACTCTGTCCTCAGGGCCCCGTGATCATGTTGGGTTCATTCCTGGCCCCACCGCAGCCCCAGATGGGTTTCACAAGAACCTGTCAGTGACTGAGGAGACCAGAGTCCTACAGCTAGAGCTCTTTGAGGTAAAATGCTGCGTTCTCCCTTGTGCAGGGTCTGATGTACCGCGATGCCTGTCGGTGGGGCCTCACACTGCAGACGTATGTGCAGCTCACCATGCTGGACCACCACACTCGTCCTCAGGTATGTTTCAGATGCTCAGCTTCAGCCTTCTGAAAGTGTTCTTCACGTGGGGGCTATATGATTGCCAGGAAGGGAAACCTCACAAGGAAGCTGCTTGGGACCTTGAGCCCTGCTCAGCCTTCTCTGTGTCTGGGGCCAAGGTTTCCTGTTCCTGCAGCTCTCCCAGGTCCAGCCTCCAGCACCCCCAACCAGCAACCTCAGCTAGCCACAGAGTTGCTAGGCAGGCCATGAGTCTTCACAACCTGACTACTTCTGGGCTCAACGTTACTTACCTCAGTTCTTCTCCGAGTGTGCCTGGACCTGGAGCAGCAGGGAACTTGTTAGAAATGCGCATTTTCGGGCCCCATCCCGGACCTGCCGAACCAGAAATTCTGGAGATGAGGCCCAGCAGTCTGTGTTTTATCACTCTCTCCAGGTGATTTTAAGGCATGCTTTGTTTGTTTGCATGTTTGAGAACGACTGATCTAACCTTCACAAGATCTGGCTCTTGGTTCAAATTCTTGGGAGAAAGAATTGGCCTGGCTCGGCTTGGGTCCTGTGCCTAGCCCTGGGCCAGTCGGGTGTTGAGACAGATCACAGGGCACAAACATGCTGCTTAGACCCCTTCCATCAGGCCTCTGAACAAGGGCAGAGTCTCTTAGAAAACAGGCTGGCTAAGAAGAGCCTGATTGGCCTGATTGTGGTTCACAATTGAAAGCACAACCCGAAAGGCCAGCTTTGGATGCTCTCCATAAAGGAGATGGGCGATCCCTACAGCCAGTGATGTAGCCACAGCCGCTCCGCTGGATGGTTCGATCCAGGGCTGGGCGGTTGGGACGATAGCTATCATTCTACAAATCTGCATCTTTTAAAAATGGAAAGATAGGAGCAGAACGGTATGCAGTTCTGTCTCCCCAAGTATCTGTCTAAATGATACAGGTCAGAGCGTCCGAGGTTGGCACTTTCCCCCTTTGCCCATCCTGCTTCCCCTGAGCAGGCACTGGATTGCAAATCTAAATTGTATCTAATAGATCTGAATATGAGGGGACATACATGTGTTTCTCTGTTTAGAGAAATCGACCATGAAGGACGCGGAGACAGAAAGAGAGATGGACAGACAAGAAAAGAGGAGTGGAAGGAGAGATGGATGAGTGGAGGGCTAGCAACAGATGGGCAGCAGAGAGTCCTAAGTAAGGAGAGGATGGAAAAAATGGAAAGGAAGATGGACGGACAGATAAACGCAAGGAGAGAGTCAGGAAATTCCTGGGTTATGGCTTCAAAGGTGCCCATGATTTGCCGGTCCAGGTGCCATGGGTGCTGTGGGCCAGGCTGAGAGAGAGCAGGGTGTGCCCAGTTGCGCAGAGTCCTTCCCAGTTTCCAAAGGGCTGCAGTGGTCCCCAGCCAGCCCTGTGAGGAGGCACCAAGGTCTCACATCTTTGCGGTGTTCCAGAGAACCAGGCCTTCAGTCGCTGAGGGCAGAGCTCCCAAATGTCAGCTGCACCCCAGCCCTCTCAGGGCTCTGTCTCCGGCATACAGGTCCCTGTGCTTAAGCAAGTGCACACTGTTTAGCTCCATAATTACCACACTTTTCACTTGACAACACTCTGCTGGACAGCATTTGGCAGTTTTTCTAGCCCTTCCCCAGATCGATAATCCAGGTGAGCCTCACCTCTCCTCTGAAAGAGGCTGCTGCTGACGAGCGGCAGCCCTTGCATTGCTGCACTGGCCACTGAGCTTCGGGGTGTGGGGAGGGCCCCGGACCGAGGGCAGAGCACAGCTGAGCCCCATGTCGGACCCCCACTATTGCTCTGGTGACTGCCTCCCTCTCCCACAGCTTCTCTGTTCTTTTGTTTGGTATAGACCGCAGGCAGGGGGAGCCACAGACGTCCTTCAAGCCTTCCTGACCTGAATCAGTGAATCACTTTGTTTTCTTTTAGGCATCACCTGTGCGGTTGATGGAGCGGTCAATTCACAGCGCAAGATATATTTTTGTAGAAAACCTATATAGAAGGTACTGTGGTTTGCACACTTGCTAATTTATGAAACCATTCATTTTGTAGAAATGAAATTGGAACTTGTTTATTCATGTGATGGGTGTTGAGTACCTACTGTGTTGTATCTGTTAGCCCCTGGCCACAGTAACACTCTGTAACAACCAGCCACAGACCCTCAGCGGCAGATAGTTTTACCGCAGCGACTGCTCAGGTGTCAAGGGTGGTCGGCCAGGTGGCTCTGCTGACCTCAATGGCCGGGCTCCGTGGTATGTCTGGGGGTTGGCTGGTCCAGGATGGCTCCAGCAGGGCTGACTGGGGTGGCTCATCTCTCTCTTCTTGCCTCTCCTCCTCCTATGGGACCAGCAGGCTAGCCTGGACACTTCTCATGGTGATGAGGGAGAGCAGAGGCACCAGCAGGAACGCACGAGTGCTGTTTAGGCCTCAGCTTCCCATTTGCTAACATCCCATTGGCCCAAGCAGGCCCCACGAGACGATCCCAGGTTGAGAGGTTGAGAGGGCCCCTGTGGCTCACGTGGCAAAGTGGGAGGATGTGGTGAAGACCCAGAGACACAGAGCATTCAGTCTAGAACGTCTTGCGCAGTGTTTGTTATAATTTCACTCCAGACTGTCTTCTGCCTTCATGCGCGTGGACTCTGTCATGTAGGCACAGTTAGGGGACTTCTGGTAGTGCACCGTGCTGAGGCCTCAGAGGCTTGGGACCCTCCCGATTTCTGTGCTCAGTGGACTGCTGATTTTAAGGGTCTTGGGGAGATGGGCTACAGGCTGCGGTCTGAAGCGTGGGCTCCTTCCACGCCCCTCCCTCCTCGGTAGCCGTGTGCCTGGTCACCCTCTCCTTGCCAGCTCCCATATTACTGCTTCTTCCCGCCTTGAGCTCTCTCACCGAGAGGTCCTGATATCAGGTTTATCCTGACATCTGCCTGCCACTCTCCACATGCCGGCTCCCTGCTCGCTCTCATCTATAACTGTCCTCAGTGTCACCTCTCCCAGGCCTCCCAGCCACCCTGTCTGATGGGTCGGACCTCTTTGTCAGTTTTAATTATTTCTTCCTGTTGCCTTTCTTCATAGTATTTAAGACAACTTTAAAGTAAGTTGAACCCAATGAAATTATTAACATTTGACCAATTTTGACCTACAAGAATGGCAGTTACACGTGGTTCAACTTAGTCTATTTTTATTTGTTCAGCTGTCTACTGTGTGTCGTCCCCTCCTGCTCCCTAGCTGGGCCAGAAACTCCTTGATGACAGGAGGACCGGCCACGTCAGGTGTACTTGCCTAGCACGGAGCCAGCCCGGGGCCAGCACCTGGGCCGTATCGTTAGCTGTTGCTTGGCGATGGGACTTGGGGCTGCTCTTCGGTCTCCAGCTGGACATGTTCCCCAGGCTCTGGCCCCAGCTGCTTCATGCCCCTTCCTTCGAGGGGGCCACTAAAAAGGCTGCTTCCTTTGGTCCTGAGCTGCCGTGGATCATGCCCATTGCTTTGTGGTCCCAAAACGAGAGCCTCTGCTTGCATCCATTCTGAGCATTAGACTAATGCCATGGGGTCAGGAGCAGCCAGGGCAAGTCCTGACTGTAGCTTTGTCCTCCAACCTTCCAGCAGTAGTGGGCCTGTTGCTAGAGCCCTGTCCTCCCTGCCCCCACCCGCCCTATCTGGGATTTCAGTGGGACCGAGGTGTCCACCTCAGGTGTACCCAGCCCTTCGCTTTCCTTTGCTCCTTTGCTCATCAGTGCCTCCGCCAGAGGGAGGGACAGGCGGAGGAGGGAAGAGAAAGAACAAAGGAGCCCCACCGGTGTTTGTTTATTGCTCTGATGAAAGTATCGAAGCCTGACGTGTGGACCCCGGGCGGCAGGGTGGGACTTCCTGTGCCCTTCGCCTAGTGAGGCTGGCTGTCTTGTAGTTGCCGTCAGCTTGGCCGGTTCTGTGTGGCAGCCAGTGGCTCCTTTTGAAGAGGGTAACCTGGAATGGAATGACCAGAGGCTCAGAGGAGAGAGTGAGGTGCTGAGTTTGGGGAACCTGAGTCCCCTCCTGGCTCTGGAATTTGCTGTCTTTGTGAGCACGGCCAAGTTCTTAAAGCTCCCCAAACCCTTCTCATCTCTAAGTCCTGTCGTCCATCTCTGGAGAGCCCTATGGAACAATTGCCTAGTTTAGGTTTTGTGCCCCTTATGCAGGTCCTTACCTACCCTGCTCTTCACAAAGTTTGCCAGTTAACCCCCCCCACCCCCCACCCCCGTTCCCTACCTGCTGGCTGCCCAACACCTGGCAGATTTCCCCAGGAGCCATCAGTCTCTGTTTTCCCAGGAGGCAGTTTTAGCTTATGTCTGTGGCCTTTGGGTACTCATGCTCATAGCCCTTCATTCCAGCACCTCTGATGGCTGGTTCTGATTTCCTGATCTCTGTGGCTGTGGTTGAGGTCGTAGGTCCAAGAAAACATGGCCCTTGCCCAAAACATGGCTGTCTTGTGGGTAGTGTAGGAAAAAACTATAGCTTTTAATTTTTTTGAGCCTTTCTCCTGCCCTGTTAACTTATTTATGCCTGATGTTTATTGTTCATATTTATGCCTCACCCTGCCCTCCCAGAATGCCCGGCGTCTGCGGTTAGGATTTCTGTAGGATAGTGAACCATGGGAGAAATTCACTGTGTCCCTGTTCCTTTCCTTGGGATCTAATTGGTTCAAGTTCATACAGCCTTGGGAGAGCATGGATTCCCCTGAAGACCTCACTGGAGCCTGAAGATTGGCCGCTGGTATCACTTGATGCAGCCCAGAGGCTGTTGGTTGGTGCGTGAACTTGGGCACTCTAGAGGCTACTGGGAACACCGTGGCGGCCGGGGGGGCCAGGCCATCTGCCACTTGGGTTTCAGGGACGTGGGAGAAGGCGGTGCTCCACACACCCTTTCACTGAAGTCCTCCAGGGGCCGAGGACCGCCCGCCCAGGAGGCCGCTTCTGCACGGCCCTCCGAGCCCGGGCAGCTGAAGAGGCCAGCCAGCAAACCGGAAGTGGCTTTGAAGACTTCTCTTTTGTCTTAGAAATTCACATGGACTTTGCATTCTGTTCTATAATGTGTTCTTCTGTTTGTATCTGTAACAAACACCGTGCTTAGGTGTGGCTTAGAGTACCCCCTTCCTCGGCCGCGTGTCCCAGGGTTCCCAGATTTGGGAGGCGGAGAGAACTCACGGTGGCAGGGGCTCTGAGAAGAACGTTCCCCGTGCAGGTGATTCACTTGTGGCCTGGACCAGGTTATCTGTGCTCCGTGGCAATGAGGGCATTCACTCAAGCGGTGGAGGGGCAGGCTGGGAGCCGCAGTTACTGTCTGGTTCTTCACACTTCTCCCCTTCCAGCCCTCGAGGCAGCCCTGCAGCGTAGGTACTGCTGCCCCTTTTGGCAGAGCAGGCGCAGGGATGGGGCCCGAAGGCCAGTGCTCCTTCCTGACCCGGCAGGCGGCTGAGCAGGGGGAGCTGCCCTGTGGTCTGCGGGGTGGGGCCGCAGGAATGAGGGAGTGGTGAGAGACCTCTGGGTTTCTCGCCTTCAGGCCAGAGGCTTCAGACTGGAGGCCCCAAGGCACCGACTTGGGTGAGCCAGGCCTCTGTCTCTTTACCCCCAGGCCTTATGGTGGGCTTCTCCCACAGATCACCGTACATCTCGTTAATACACACACGAGCCGCGTTGCGGAGTCCAGGTCGGGGCCTGAGAACCTGCATTTCTATCTGAAGAACCCTGGGCGGCCACCATCCTGCCGGTTGGGGAGCACACATGGAGGAGTAAGGCCTCAGAAGAAGCCAGCCGCCAGCCGCAAAGAGCTCTCCGCCCTAATGCCGGGCCCTTTCCCCTGAGAGTTTTGTTCCTGTGGCTTCCCTGGGGTCAGGAGAGCAAGAGCCCAGTCCTGTGGGCTTTTTTGAGGGCAGGCGGCCCATCCTGGTGAAAGTTCTGCAATGCGGGGCTTCCTGTTTCCTGCGCTGCCTGCTGTTTGTTCATTTCTCATTTGTTGCTTCAGGTTTTAGTTGTTGGGGGTTTTGTTGTGTTTTCTTTCTTTGAAGGGTCTCCAGGTTTTCTCCTGGGTCAGGAGAGGTGCGGCCGTAGGCCAGAGGTTTTCTGCGTGGAGACACAGTTCCATGTTTGCAGCCAGAGCTAAGGAAGTGACGGGTGCGGGGTAGCGTGGAACGCGGGCTTCCCTTGCCGGCAGCCTCCTTACAAGACCAGCTTTCCTCGATGCAGTGGGTCAGCCACCACGAAGTGTTACTGACAGAGTAGGTGTTTTGAGACGTTTCTGCTGCCCCCCAAATACAGATGACCGTCATGTTGAGCCTAAACCAAATGTATGCTAGAACTGAGCTTGGCTGGATCCTTGGCCCATACCTAAAATAGGATGTTCTGGTTCCCACCTGTGGGGAGGTCAGCTGGGCGCTGGGAACCCCAGGATGGCAAGTGTGGCCTGTCAGCTCCTGTCCCCCTGACCCTCAGGTGCTCAAGGACAAGGCTTCCTACCGTGCCCCGATGGGGAGAGCCCTTTCCCAGGGCAGGGGGCAAGTTGCTGCTGCCCTTCTGTGTTGGGGTTGGTCCTTTCCTCTTTCTCAAAAGCCCTTGAGAAACATTCCATCCTTGGCCTGGAATCTGGGGTGAGGGGCCCTGGTGGAAGGTCACGGCAGGCCACATGGTGGCGTTGTGCATCCCCTGAAGCAAAATTTCTCGAAGGCGTCCTTGCCTTTTGGGTCTCCTAGGGAGAGATCTGCCTCTTCTGGCCCCTGCCACTGCAGCACGTTTGGGGCGGACAGAATGGAAGTGCATTTATGCTGGCCAGGGGTGTGAGAGCAGCATGGTAATTGCTGAAAAGGAAGATTCCAGTTACATCATCCCCTTAACGACGGGAACTTGAGAGGCATGGGCACTGCGCTGGAAGGAAAAGCTGAAGGAGGCGAGAATGCCTTGCAGGCAATTATGTGGCCCAAGCCCCGGGGGCTGAATAATTGAATGCAAAGCTTTTACAAGATTGCTGGTCGCCTTTTTCTAAGAACAGAAGTATGAGAATTGAGTGGGACCCAGCTGGGAAATGACAGCTGACTCACCTGGGGCTGGTGGACATTGATTAAGACCTTGCGATTGGAACAATAGGCAGGGCCCCCTACCTCCCTAACTGGCCTGGGGGCTTGGATTCCTCCCCTGCCCTGGTCTAGACCGGGGCCTCGGGCCTGGGTCGTGACCTTGAGAGCTGTGTCTTTCCTGGGCGGATGCCAAAGAGGCACTGGAGCGTCCAGAGCAGCCCCCTCCACGCACGGACCAGGGAGGGCGAATGACGTCATGGAGATCATATGGGTTTAGGGGCCACGGAGAGCCAGGCTTAAATTCTGGCTCAGACTGAGTTGGGCTTCACTGCTCTGGGCCTCAGTTTTCCTCAGCTGTAAATCGGGACTAAAAGTGACCTCGCAAGGTCTTGTGAAAACAAAAGAAAATAACGTAAACAGGTGGACTGGCATTGGAGTGTGCGGTTTCTATTCTGACCTGTGCTGTGCAAACTGGGGACTCCGTGGGCCTCAGGGAGAAGGTGGCAGCAAACCGGGCCAAGCAAAACAGCCAGCAGGATTCATGTGGACCCAGGACCTCGGTTTTGCCACCCTGGGGAAGGGGGAGGCACCGTGAAACCCCCTCAGTGCGCCCAGTCCACTGGTGGTGAGTCACGTGGCTGGGTTTTCTGTAGAAAGGCACTGCTCCCGGCAGTGGCTTGGCAGTGGTGCCGGGCACTCTGTTCCTTAGGCAGCGTCCAGGACTTGTGACACCGTCGCCCTGGGCAGCTCTCACAGGGCCACGACCCTGTGTTGCTTGTCTGTTCTGTCTGTGTGGTGGTGGAGAAGGGGGGGGGTGGCTGAGGAGCAGCTTCCATTTTGGAAATCCCCATTCCCTCCCAGTCACTTTTGTTCTGGAGAACAAACCTTTATTTCCCAGAGAAGGAAAGCATGTAAAGAAAGAATGGTTTGGTTTCTTGAAATCAGATACTCTCAGCTGCAACTAACCGAAACCCAACTCAAAGTAGCCTGAACAATAAGGTTGTTACTGGCTGTCTTAATGGCAGGCTTCAGCGTTGATTTCATTCTGTGGCTCTGGCCCTGTTTTCCTACTCTGTGTCTTGCTTGTGTCCTCAATATGATTCCCTCATGGTGACAAAATGGCTGTGGCAGAACCAGCCTTCTCACCTGCTGGCCAGAGGGTAGGTGTTTTGCCAGTGGCTTTCCTCTAAGTATGAGGAAGCATGGTTTCCATCAACCCCTGCAAACCCCTGCAAACCTCCTTCATGTCTCACTGGTACAGGCCGGGCCCCTGTGGCCAGATCGGCTCAGCTTCGTGAGAAGAGAGTATTTCCCTTCGACCAGCTGGGCCTCCCCTGAAGTTTGGCTTGAGGTCGGGTTTCCCTGAAACACTCAGGTCTGTGGATGGACCCTGAATAAATAATGGACTACTCTCAGGAGATAAGAGGAAAGAACTAGGGGCTGGGCAGCCACCTGTCCTCATGCCATACCAGCCCGTGGTCCTAAAGTCCTTACCTTTAGTTCCTGGATTTCACTGGCTCTGGTCCCCTCTGCAGGGTTGTGCACCTTCCTGCCACTGCCCTCCCCCACTGTTTCGGGGCACCCTCACATGCTAGTCTGCTCTGGTCCGCTCTTGTCTCCTGGCTGAGGTCCGATGCCTGAAGACCTCTAAGGTGGCCCTCTGCCCCTGCTGTTCTGTCTCGGATACCGTATGTTTTCCTGCTACTCAGCCCGAGCACAGCCCGTCTCCCCTGAGGGCGCCATGGGGGTCTCAGGGATGAGGGGCAGGTGTCCCTCTTCAGTCTGTGCCATGCCCTGTCATTTGGGCCCCAGGCAGGGCTGCTTGTGGCCTTAGTGTCCCCGAGATGCGCCCCTCCAGCTGTCTGAGCTTCTTGCCTCCCTCCATGCCCATCCCGGCACCGCTCCTCCCTGCCAGGTGGAAGTCCGTTCACAGCACCCGGCAGGGGGCCGGCTCCACACCACCCTTCCAGTGAGCTCTTCTCCCACCCCCCGCTGTTCATCGGCAGTCAGAACCGCCCCTGGCCCCCCCCCCCCACCGTGCACCCTGGGCCCAGGCACGGCCCCTGTCCCCGTAGCCAGTCCTGCCAAACCCTGTTCTGAGTGGATCCAAGATGGTATCCAAGGTGGGTAGGGTGTTAAAAGGGAGAATTCCCCTCCTGGACCTTGGAGGATCACCCAACCTTTGACAGGTGTGTGTCCCCTGGTTGCCCGTCCTCTGGCTCTTTTCTGTGGGTTTCCTTTTGGGGCGGGGGAGACGCACAGGAGCCAGGGAGAGACGCCAGGCCTCTTGCACTCTTGGTCTCTTGTCTTGATTTCTTCCTTCCTTTTTCTTTTTTTAAAGATTTTATTTATTTATTTGACAGAGAGAGACATAGCGAGAGAGGGAACACAAGCAGGGGGAGTGGGAGAGGGAGAAGCGGGCTTCCCGCGGAGCAGAGAGCCGGATGCGGGGCTCGATCCCAGGACCCTGGCATCATGACCTGAGCCGAAGGCAGACGCTGAATGACTGAGCCACCCAGGTGCCCTCTTCCTTCCTTTTTCAGTTAACATTTTAAATATGTAGTTATTTCCTCTCCTCTGATTTTGGAAAATACAGGAAGGTAGAAAGAAAACATCAAAGTCTCCTAAAGTCCCAAAAAATCTTAAAAAAAAAGAAAGGGGGCGCCTGGGTGGCTCAGATGGTTGAGTGTCTGCCTTCGGCTCAGGTCATGGTCCCAGGGTCCTGGGATCGAGCCCCGTATCGGGCTCCCTGCTCCGCGGGGAGCCTGCTTCTCCCTCTCCCTCCTACTGTTCCCCCAGCTTGTGTTCTCTTGCTCTCTCTGTCAAATAAATAAATAAATAATCTAAAAAAAAAAAAAAGTGTCCTATACTCCCACAGCTCAGAGAAAAGCACTGGATGCATTTTGTTGTCTTTCTTTCCAGTCTTTTTTCAAAATGTGTGAATGATTTCTCCAGGAAATACAGTTGGGTCATACTACACACAATTTTATACCTGCTGTTCTCATTGAACACTCGATTGTGAGTGTTTTCCATGTCATTAAATGTTATTTTACGACACCATCGTTCAGTTCCTGCATGGGGTGCTGTTATATTGGTGTGCCAAGATTTCATTTTTCATTATTTTTGGTGGTGCTTGGAGTGGGCATCCATGATTATTTGCACAAAATAGATTTCTAGAGGTGAAATTGGTTTGCTGCTCCACCTTCCAACCTGAGCATTGTCCCTGTTCTCTGGGGTCAGGCCTCAAAGCCCCTTTCTGTGCTTGGAGTTCAAGTCCTAGATGAGCTCTCCCATCGGGCACTTCCACGACACTTGCTGCATTAGACTGGAAACCGTGCCCCCGGCAGCAGAGGGTCAGAGGTGTTGGGGGCCCAGTATCCCATGGATCATGCTATGCCCTGGTGCCCTGGGCTGCGCCCTTTACACAGAAGCCATCCACAGATCCTTTTGATGCATAAAACCCTAACACCTCTCATTATAGTGGGAAGATGCCTGAAGTGGACTATGTGATTCTGTCGGAATGGTTTGACTGGATTGTGAGGAACATCGACGTGTCCGTTGATTTGATAGGTGAGAGACCCCTCCTGACCAGCCCCCAGGGCCCCAGGGAGCATGTGCTTGGCAGGACTGCCAGCCAGCAGGGGCAGCGGGCAGGGCCCCGACCATTAGTGATTCTTTGCCCACGTTAGTTCAGCCTTCTCTCCAAGGGCAGACAGGATCTGGGGGCTTCTGGTCCCTCCTCAAGCTGCTCTCCCCTGGGTCCATTGTGATTCGATGGGTTTTTTTTTAGTGTGTAAGGGAGAGAGGAGGCCAGAACCCGTGTGAAGCTTTGTGCACATGTGGAACTTCGTTCAGCCTCACAGCAACCCCGTGCGGCTGGTGACATGGAAAGAAAATGAAAGTGGGCATGAGGGTCAAGATGCCTGAAGGCCACACAGCTGGTCAGTGGTCAGGCTGGGGGCTGGCTGTGGTCTGTGTCTCCTGCTCAGAGTGGTTGGCAGATGTTTCTCTCCATGCCTTGTGCACAGGCCTTCCTTCCCCCTCTCCCTGGCCTCCACTTCTAAGCCACAAACAGAGTCATTAGAGCCACATACTATTTTTTTTAAATCTCAGTGTATCTCCGGACCACCCCTGAGACCTGTTACCAGAGATTGCGGCTGAGATGCAGGGAAGAGGAGACGGTCATTCCCCTGGTAAGAGCCCCCTTGAAGCCGCTTAATGCCCGGGAAACTACTTCCATCCCTCCCTGAGATCATTGTGCTGTCGCAGACAGGGAAATGGGAACTGAGCATACTGCGGGGTACGCTCGGACTTCCTCTGTGGCCCGAGACGCTGTGTGAAGTTCCTGAGGCCTGGGTTGCCGTGGTTGGTGCCCTCGGCCCAAACGCATCCCCTCTCCCGCTGCCCGCCAGGCGCCCCCCAGGGCGTGTCCTAGCCACCTCCTGAGGACTGCTTGCCTTTGTGCCCAGCTCTGGAGCCTCGCTAGAACACTCCCTCCCATTTGCAGCTCCGTCCCCCGTGCTGAGTGCAGTGCTAGGCTCTGAGGCTGTCCTCTCTGGTACTTGCCCAGTGCCTTGCCCTTCCGGGTGCTGGCTCAGCGCCACAGGGCCTCTCGTCAGGACGGTTGTAACTGTTGGACTGCCCTCCTCATCCTGTTTCTTCACTCCCCACATGCCCTCCCGAACCTGGCCTCCACGTGGCTGCCGTGCGGGGATGTTTCCAGCACAGAGCACCACTCATGCAGTTTCCCAGCCACTAACCCTTCGGTGGCTTGCTGCCGTCTAGAGTAAAGTCCCCACTGGCGCATGCCACCTCGAATCCTGCTGGATCTGTGTTATCTCCCTCCACTCCCTGCCTTTCATGCTCTGGCCACAGAGACTAGTCGTGGCTACACACACACTCACACTCACCCTGCACTTACACAAATGTGCTTTTGTGCAGTGGCTTCTTTTGCCTTCCAAGTTCAGCTTAGATGTCACCTTCTCCAGGAAGCCTTCCTTGACCTTCCCTCCATTGTGCTCCCCTAACCTCTGGGCTTACGATGGTCACAACCCTAAGGACAAGCGTACCGAAACTGTTTGTTTATATGTTTTGTTCCCCATCCCTCATCAACTTGTGAGCTTTTTAAGATTAGGTCTTATTTCCTGCACCCTCAGCGTGTTTCCCAGGGCTTGGCACTGAGGAGTTGCTCAGTTAATACTGACCTGAATGCCCCATGTGAATGCCACTGGGCCAGAGGCTGGGCAGGCATTTCCTGGGATGGGTCTCAGCTCAGGATGGGCTGGTCTAGGGGCCCTGGAAGACCCGCCCAGCTCCCGAGGCCCACCCAGCCTTGTTTTCCCCAGGTACCAGTAAGGTTGATGCCAGCCATGAAGGCGTAGGCCTCCTTCTGGGTAGCTCCTTTGAAATCCGGAGACAGGAGTGATTGGAGGAAGGGTACAGTGGAGCGGGGCTGGGCTATGCTGTGGTGGGGCAGGGCCGCTCTGTGCAGTGACCCAGATGTTCTGAAGAAATGACAAGTCTGTAGTACCTCCAAGCCATTATTAGCCGGGCCTTTATCTTAGCGTTTCTGACAAGGCCTATAGGACACGTCTGTTGTTGCCAAGAGATAACTCGACGGTGGATGAAAAGGTGGCATTGCGGTTTCCCCGGGAGCTTCTGGGCTGGCAGTAAATTGCTGCTTGGGAAGGTGGCTATGGGTGGTCAGAGCACCGTGGCCTCCGCGTGAGAAAGTGTCTGTCTAGTCCTGCCTGGTACGGAGGCGCTGATGGCTTAGGGGCATGTCCGGGCCTCGTTCCCCCTGGCTTCCACCTTGTGAGGCTTTCTGGAGTTGGTCTTCATGGTCTAGAGGGCTTACAGGTCACAAGTTGTCAGGTGGGGTGGAAGCAGCGGGAGTGGGTCTCCTAGGCCAGTGAGGGTCACAGTCCTCTTGGGAAGGACAGAGTGGGGGTGTCAGAGGCTGCCCAGGGCTGGGAAGCAGCTGTGGACCCCAGCATGAAGGAACTGGTGGCCCTGCTGATAGAGAAGCGGGCGTCAGTGTGAGAAGTCTGGTGGGAGGGTGTGTGCAGGGCACCGTCAGAGCAAGGCAGCGCTGGGGGGAGGGAGTAGGTGCGGGAGGGGCTCCTCTAACTGTCGCCATGGCCCGGCTGGCTGGTGGGGGACGAGTGGCTGCATTTATGACTGTCCATCTGAGCCAGGTTGGCAGTTGCAGACCCCTTTGTCCAAGCCACTCCCCGTGGTCGTGGACGTTCACGCCCCCTGCCCGAGGTCCTTGCTGGAGAGATTTGCTTCCCTGCCTGCTCCCCAACGCCTGGGTACATGTGTATGTCTGTGTGTGTGTGTGTTTCCTGGCAGGACTACCTGAATGCTATTCACCACCTCTATGAGGAGTGGCTCATCCAAGGGGGCCTTTTCCCTGTGGCAGCCCCTGTTCTGGTAAGTGCCCCTGGCAGGGCTGGAGACTTTTCTGGAAGGAGGAGGGACCCGGGGAATGTCAGCCACTCTGTAGTCTGGGGAGGGGCCAGGTCCTTCAGAGCTGGAGGATCGAGAAGAAGGAAGCAGGGAGGGTAGAAGGGGCCCTTTCTCTCTCCTGGTCCCCATTCTGGACTGAGTCTCCGGGTCCATTGGACAGACCCGAGAGAAGGTGACCTGTCCCCGTGTCATTACACTGGTGGCCACAGTAGCATCTCACTTATCCAGCATCATCAGTGATGGAGTGTTCCAGATGGCTGAAGCCTCTAGGCGCGGGTTTTGGCTTTAGCCCCTTGGGATGGTGGTCTCTCTGATGCAACCATCCCTTCTCCAGTGGATGGCAGCCATGGAGCCTCGTTGCCCCTCTCCTCGGTGACCCAGGGCATCTGAAGGAACATCAGTTGCTGTCCTGGGCTGTTACCCAGTGGCGCCCTTAGGAGGTGCTGAGGTGTGTAGGACGGTTTGCCCCAGACCACTAATGTCTTTGAGTTCGTGCGTTGGCTTCGTGTAGCAGCTTCTCCTGCCGACACTTGCCACTTGTAACTGCGTGCCGTTTCCGCCCCACTTTTCCCTGCTTCCCTGTCCCCTCCTTTGCTGCTTTGCTGCTGCTCAATTTCTTCAGGCAGGCAAATGGATCCCGAGACAGCTGGCGATGTGCGCCCAGTGTGGGATCTGAGGGAGGGCCATGCACAAACTTCTGTGCGTGGCCTAAGGGACATCCATGTGGTCTGCTCAGAAAATTCTACTCATCATGGTGCTTCCAGGCCATGAGGTTGCTGGAAAGTGAGATATTACTGTACTGGAATTTTAAGGAAGTAACATCTGTTCCCCGCCCCCCCATTACTGGATAATATAAAATGATGGGGGAAAAAAATCATTCACGGGCTGGCTGCAGGGACAACCATAGTGGATTCTTAAGTGGAAATGTAGTTGAGAATGTGAATTGACCTAGAACCTGGTGCTGTTCTGCTCTAACCCTCCTTTTTATCTGCCTGTGACCTTGGACTTCTCTGCCACTCCGTGCCTCCTCCTGTGTGCCTCCGTCTCTCTCCCTCTTCATGTGTGAAGGGGAGGATGGTGTTGAGGTCAAGCACAGTCCTGTGACCCGTGTGTTTAATTTCCAGGTGATTGAGGCTGACCACGACGTGCAGAAAATGTTAAAACTCTTTGAACAAAACCGGGACCGAATATTAACTCCAGAGAATCAGAAACATGGTTCATAGGATGGGGAAGATCATGCCAGAAAAATGCTGCCAAGTTAGCTATTAGGAGCAATTTGGAAATATCCACTCTCAAGAGGGCTTGATATCTGGCCACATTTGTTTTCCTGATGGTCTTCTCCTCTTGGCCAGTATCTTCATCCTTGGTCTCTGGCCCTTGAGGGTAAATGACAAATGGGACCAATGGGTTTGTCATGCCCTTTGATGTTTGCAGCCTTGCATTCCCCAGCACCTCTCCTGCTGGTTTCCTGCTGCTGGGTCCCTGTGATTAAGGGAAGAGCCGCCTGAAGTAATGCTGGGCTTAGGGTCTCTAACCCTTCTGACCACCCAGGAGGGTGAGGTAGTGGCCTCACATCCCAGGGAAGAAGTTGAAGCTCAGAGAGGCTGAGAGACTCCCCCAGGGTCACACAGCCAGGGACAGTGGCGTTGGCACAGTTCAGACATTCTCGGCCTCCTCCTGAGAGCCTGCCTTCCCTTGATAGAGATCTCTTGTGTGTATGGGAGAGTCGGCAGTGCACGGAGTCAGTGCCATCATTTTCTCATTATCTGAGCACTTCGCAAGGACAGTTGATGCTCTTAGACTTTCACAAAATTGGGTCGTGTTTGGCTTGAGCCCAGTGTTCAGTGCTTTCCCAGCAGGAGGCTGCTGTGGCATTGACCACCTCGGCATCTGCACTTCCATGTCCTTAGGAGAATCCTGCGCAGGCTTCTGACTGGTGCTCGGTCTCCTTGGTGACGAAGGCCTTGCCGGAGCTGCTGTCACTTCTCCGTCTTGGTGCCTGGGTGGTTTGCCCAGGGCCAGGCTGGGGAAGGGGCCTGCTGGCCCTGGCTTCTGAGGCCTCTGTACTCTGTACTGGCCTTATGTGAAGAGCTTTGCCCTTGGAATTACTGAGAGTTTGGGGCCCCGGGGAGAGACACAAGTGGCCTTAAGTCTTACTGAAATGTTTTTCCATGCAAGGAGACCCTTGGACCATACAGCATGAAATCATCTTTATTGGTTCGGAAAATATCCTAGCTTCCTTCAGCTGCAACAACGCATCAAAGCCACCGCTGTCTCTTGAGTCAAGTGGAAAGTGAGAGAAAGAAGGAACATTCTTTTAAGGGGGGCAGTCTGGACTGGAAGATCAGGACTTACAAGCAAAGGCTCTTGGAGCCCTGGTGCTCCTGATATTTTGGAGGTGGGTGGAGAGAGCTTCAAGAAGACTGGTGGTAAACATGGGGAAGGGTCAGTTGTGACTTTGGGGAAACAGGCCTCAGCCTCTCCCGAGCAGCGGTTGGCATCGACGAGGGTTGGAAGGCCTTGTCCCAGCCTCTGCCTGAGTGTGGTACCTGTGCGTACGGCTCTCTGACTCGACGTGGGTGACAGGAGCCCTGGTGGTCCTGGCCCAGAGGGAGGCAAGCACTGTGACTCCTGGACCAGTTCTTGGGCTCCATGGGCAGGATGAGGGGCAGCAGCCCAGCGGGGATGTGTCTCTCGGCCCGAAGGTCAGGGACTGACCAGAAGTTGGGGGGAGGTGAGGGCCTGTGCTGCCCAGTGTCTTGACGAGCCAGGGCAGTCTTTGGGAATTTGTAAGTGAACAGTCCAGGATTTTCCCCCACAAATCAATTTGAGCATCTGTTTTGGGGGAAATGTGATTTTTTTTTTTTTGGAAATGCGACTAAAGAAAGTAAAGTCTTGCCCTGCGGTCGCCAATAAATCCTTCACCTAAAACCTGATGTTAATCTTGGCTTGCTACCTAGGCCAGTGATTTTAGCCCCCCGCAACAGCATCCTTTTGCCAGTAGGATAATGTGTTTTCATTTTTCTAAACCCCATCTTTCCTAACATGGGATGTGTGGGTCCAGGAGAGCTCACCATCCTCTTGCTCTGGCACGGTGGAGCGGATGCCGTGCGCCTGCAGCGGCCGGGGCAGGGGGCCGAGATCTCGCAGGCCAGCTGTGTCCCACGAGACGGCTGGTGCCCGGCTTGCACGGACGCGGGTTGCTCTCCCTGTGCGGCAGGCAGGGCTGGTGGCACCGGGGGGCGCGGAGCAGCTATAAAAGCCAGGGCACAAAGAGGCGATGGCACATGGTAGGCATGGGGCCTAGTTCTAGAGCAGAGGAGCGGCACGCCGTGGGGGCTCTCAGGAATGGCTGGGAGGAGCATGGCGGGGCTGGCGTCTCTAAATTGCCGACAGAGCAAGCCAGGGCAATGACATCCCCGCTTGGCTGGTGTCGCCCCATTCTTACCCTGAGGTGGGGTTCCATAGGGCATAATGGGAGTAAGCCCCAGAGCGGCCCCAGCTGCTTCGACTCTTGGTAATTAAAAATTTTTGGAATAGCACATATGTTTTAGTCAGCATTTTTAGTGAAAATAATTCTAATTTACACGTCACCTTTTTAATTTTGTATGCAAAAGACATGATTAGAATCATTCAGAAATATTTCATGTACCTGGTGATTAAAAAAAAAAATGAGATAGAAGTGTATTTCTGTGTCACATCAAAGTGCGGAAGTGGGTGATTCAGGGCTGGTGTGGTGGCCCCAAGGCCATCAGGGTCCTGGGCTCTTGCTGGCTTTCTGTTCCCAGTTCAACTTCCTGGTTCGTGGCTTCCTTCCTCCGGGGACTTCCCTGTCTGAGATGGTGCCAGAGCTCCTCCTCCGGCTACTGCTGGCATCAGGACATACTGTCCCCCGCTCACACGTTAATTCTAATGTGGATGATGACCTTTACAAGGCGCAACTGAGATAAGCTGGAAGGTTCTGGAAGGTTCTGGCAAGATTTTGCCAGAGGCCTGGAGGTGGGGCAAAGGCAGGAGGGAAGTCGGGACTCACGGGCTGGACCATGGGTCCAGCGTCAGGGCCGTGGTGCCCTCTGGCCCCAGCTGTCCCTCCCTTCTGCCCTCACATCACATCTCCCTCACCGCCTGGTGCTACAGTGTCCTGCGTGTCCGAGGCTCAACCTGCCTCCTGCGTTGGGTGGAGCTGGGTGAGGGCACAGACCGCTGGGCTGGCGCACTCCCACAGCATGGCTCTCCGAAAGCCCTCCTAACTGTGGACCCTGGGAAATGATGTCACCTTTCCGTTTCTCTTCCTACCCCCTTTCATTTCCACCTGAGCCCTTTACCTGGATACGAAGTCCCGTCCCGCCCCCTTCCCCTCCCTGCCTGTGGAGTACCTCAGTCAGAGACCCTTCCAGGGCCTCCCACAGACTCCCACCCCAGACCTGGGGAAGGATTGAAGCATTTACAACTTTGAGAGCAGATAGATGTTTCCAGAACCTGCCTGCCCCTAGGTGCTGTTCAATCTATGCCATCTTGTTTTCCTAGAGCCCTGGGGCCGGATGAGGGCGCTCATTTCAAATGCTCCCCTAGCTGTGGAATGAGTAACATTAATCCCCGTGGCCTCTCCAGGCCGAAGAATTACAGTTATTAAAGTAATTGACGAGCTCCTGGAAATGTCAGCCCTCCCTGTTGAAAATCTAATAACAATAATACCCTGCCTGGTGCCTCTGGGCTTTGGCAGTGGATTACTCACGCGGGGCCCCAGGGTCACTGGCACGGGGCTTTCTTTTCCTCATAACCCCAACCCCGCAGCCCCCCTAAGGCCGAGTGAACTCTGTGTTCCTCTACTTTATGTAAGATAGTGAGCTTGCCAAAGGCTGTCATTAAACATAACCCAAGAGAGAGCCAGTCTGGTGGAGTCCAGAGTGGGTATCCGCATTTACTGCCGTCTTCCTAAATTTCTGCATTTCTTGGCTTTCTCTTCTTCAAGGCTGGGGTCTGTGGAACACAGGTGTTCTGGGAGATAATAATAGGTGTTCTGAGAAAGAAGGGTTCCGTAGTCCAGGAAGTTTGGGAAGCGCCACCTGGGTACTTTCTCTGAGACACACAAGGTACCTTAGTTAAACTCAAGCAGTCCTGTGATAAAAACACCTTTTCACCTTTATTTAATCCAGGGACTCTCAAACTCATTGACAGTAGAACCCCTCTTTGGGGAATAGCCATTAACAGTCTCCAGGCATGCTCATGTTCCTCGGAACACACATTGAGAATAGCACTGTTTTAGGGGACCTGCACCTGCGGCTGACTCTCGGCTTTTGTGCCCTTTGGGAGTCTCTAGCTCCTGGTTCTCCACCTTCAGTGCATCTGAATTCCCCGGAGGGCATGTTAAAACATGGATTACGAGACCCACCCCCAGAGTTCCCAATTGAGCAGGTCTGGGGTGTGCCCGAGAATCTGTTCTCTGACACCGTTCCAGGTGACGACGAGGCTGTGGTCCAGGGACCACCCTTTGAGAGCCACCTCTCTTGATTGACACTTTCTAGAATTGGCCATCCCTGAGTCCCAAGAAAACTTGGCCCCTTGTTGGTTGTTGAACGTCTTGTGAGTGTTGGATATCCTGTCTGTCAAATGAGAGAATTGCTCACTTCTCATGACATGGAAGGGGTCTGGACCAGGGCCCGGTATGCGGCAAGTGTCCCTGGAAATGTTCGTTCATCCGATGTGGCCCCGAAAACGGGGCTGTAAAGCAGGTACTTGGCTGAGTAATGGCAGCAGTTGCAGGGACTGGCACTTTCCATTGGAGTGGCGTGGATGCGTGCTCTCACCAGCTAGTCAGGGGGCCACCTGGACTGATCTGTTCAGTAGGTACAGATCACAGGTGGCCCCCTGACTGGCTGGGGGCCTCTTTGAGACTGACCTTCGGGACTGTGCCTCTGAAAAGTGCATCATGGCCCTTCTGGAATAACAGAGCATGGGGCAGGCAATTGGCCTTTCTTTTCTTTTTAAAAATGTTCCTGCTTCTCATGGGGACTCTGGATCTATAGCTGGCATCCTGTGGCATGAGAGAGGGGCCTGGAGAGACACAGCTGCTTCTCAGGCCATGGGAATGGACACCACGTCTTGTACCAACAAGGCCCTGGATTCCTTACACAATAAACTGATGTCTTCTTGGAGATCTCCTTCTCAGTGGGCTCAGGTGACCTCTCACTCGTCTTTTCCCTAATGCACAGAGCAGATTTATTTGTAGCCAGAGATGGGTAGATGTTGGCCGCTCTAGGCTCATCTTAGGAAATGCCCAGAAAAAATGGGCAGTGGCCAGTTGTTAAGTTTTAAGT